CAGGATGCAGTAATCAACGACGATATGCCGGAGACGAGTCAACGGATTCGGAGCAGTCTACAAGAGAGTGGATTAATACAATTGATATCAATCATGGAGTTGATAGTAGTTCTTTGGGAAAAAGGAGTCTGCCTGTTACGAATATTGAAAGTATAACAGGAAGTGGAGAGATTCTGTGTAAAAAAAAACAGAAATTTAACATGGAAGAGTATAATTATCGAGATGAAACAAGGAATATTACCGCTATAACGCATCTCAAACTCCGAAAGATCGAATCCGTGAACTGTTCATTCAAGAGATGCCCTCCCTCTTGGTTAATCAAATATTGACAAGAATGTACTCGTAATATAATAAGTAATATCTATTAGTTTTGTAATAAATTGCTTAGAATTTTCATGAAATATTATTAATAAGTCAAGTGTAGTTCAAGGCAGAGTGTCCAAATGATATCTGAACAACTCTTTATAATTACTCACTAAATGCAAATATGTATAACGTGCCTGAAAGATACAACTCTGTATAATAGTAATGGCTAAAATATAATTCCACTTCCGTGTTAACGTTTCTAAAGGTTGATCGTTTTATTTTACGCTGCGCAAGCAACTTTATAATCTAGCAGAACTGTTGCCCGTAGGACTTGAATTACATATACATCAACTAGATGTTTCAACAGCATATCTCAATAATTAATTAAAAGTCCAAGTAATCGTAGAAGACGAAGGAGTTTGTAAATACAAAATATCTTAATCGTATATAGTCATATATTGACATATCCTATTAACTTTAGCCGTCAAATATTTCAGAATCGCTGAGGAATATAATTAACATATGTACATATATTCCTCGCGATAATAAAAATAAACAAAAATAGAATTATCACTCACTTCGGAATGCAAGCAAAATATATAAATACAAAGAAGGGGCACATTTCAAAAATATAAAAGAATGACATATGTTCATCCGAGCAATGCAAATTCGAATATAACAATAAAACAACAATTGAAGAAATCGAAGACGATACAATCTTAATAAAAAATGCATACAAAACGGAAATTAAACAAAATTGCGATAATAGAGAAATTATACTCGAAAGGAAAGCGTTAATAAACTTTTATAATTGTAAAATTGAGGTAATAAATAAATCTTTCCAAAATACAAAAGTTATAGTAGAAGAAAAATATATTTACCCCGAAAAAGAAAATAACGCATTGCATTTTGAAAGGAAAATTAACTTCTCAGAAATAATATTAACCCAAGAAAATAACGTAAATAAGCTTGAAGAACTAAAAGTTCATAAAAATATAAATTATGGAATAAATATACTAACAATATTGTTATTAATAATAGGAATCCTAGCGATATATATAATATACAAGAAGAAAAATAAGAAAAATGAGACCACAAATGTAAACTTAGAATTATCAATACAACATGCCTTAAATGATAAACAAAAAACAGAGAGAATAGGTCCATTGCTAGGTCCAAAGCAGACAATAATGTAAGCGAAAAGTAAATTTATTTCTAAGAACTTATTTATAATCAATAAATAATTGTACCCATATTTTATAAATTAATTGCAGAATACCAGAGTGAACTTTGAGAAATTTAATTAATTTAATTAACTATTCAATGGAACTTAGGGGCGGAGGAGTCATACATTGACATATCCTATTAACTTTAGCCGTCAAATATTTCAGAATCGCTGAGGAATATAATTAACATATGTAAAAAAAATATTCCTCGCGATAATAAAAATAAACAAAAATAGAATTATCACTCACTCCGGAATGCAAGCAAACAAATAAATACATTAGAGCATGTTTTATTCCATGGAATGTATGTAAACAAATACTCATAGTCATACATTCATAAGCGTATCTTATTTCATAGAATTTCAGAATAAATAAGAAGCTAATAAAGAAAACAGAGTCAGTTCAGAATAAGTACTTAGCAAAGAAGCTTTGAATTTTTTATTTTTGCAACTCCATATCGGTTGAGGTTCCTTTTAGAAAAAGATTTCTGAAGCCTTCAAAATGTACTTTTAACACGTACAAACCGAAAACTATATTCAAGTCAGAGAGAGCAATCTGCTGCTTTAAGCAATCGGTACGTGAATGGAACAAAATGTTAGGACTTTAGTTTAAAGAGGATGAGTTCTGTTGGATAAAAATACCCCATATCGTAATCGCAGACACATCGCTTCCACAGTGGATGTCAAAGACACACCCAAACGCTCATATTCGGCATCAACTATTCGGAAACTTTTTTTTTTCAAGTATGTCGGTTTGAGACGATACGTTTGGTACTGGCATTAGCGGCGGCATTACAGATGCATCTCATCAGATGGACGTATTTGAATAGCGAGTAGGAAGGGGCGTGAAACTCCAAGCTGAATGCAACATTAAAAGATCTGGGTTTCATGATTGTCAAAGCAAGTTATAGAAGTTAGTCTGTATCTAATGCTTGTTTATGTTGACGGCGATCTACTTTAAGGCAAAAATTTGTGAAAAGTTCGAATGAAGCATTGCACTTGTGGAGAATTATCAACGAGATCGGATGCGGTGATGCTAGAGATTCCACGAACTTGAGTGCACAACATTTAGCAAAGAAACCAGTAGATCACGCCAGGACGAAGCACATAGACATAAAATATCATTTTGTAAGAGAAGTTTTGAATAAATCTGAAATATGTTTGCAGATATTTTGACTAAGAACGTGCCTGAAGAAAAAGGTAATAAAGTTTATGAAAATTTTAAAACTTATTTAAGGACATACGCATTGAGGAAGGGTGTTGAAATGTAATACTTTTAAGTACAACACTGAGTTTGTAACAATGCTTATGTCACTATATGTAGCGCCCATATTATAGGTATGAATATGCATTGGTCTCGAATTAAACGTTGAACTGCAAACATCGTGTTTTATTTACTTTGTTAAGAAAGTCACAGACTTTCTTTAGGAAGATACCATTACTCGGCGAACGCTTAAAGTCCGCAAGTAAATACAGCCCTTGGACAGCAAAGGAGTGGAAAAGTGTAATGTTTTCTGTTGAAACTAAGATAATAAGGGTTTCTTCAGATGGGAAATCTATGTACTCAGGCCTCAATGCAAATAGTTGGACCCCAACATTAAAACATTTTGGGGGCTGTATAATGATTTGATTGATTGGAAGTTGAAAATAGTAAAAGCTGCCTTTGATTTCGTCTATACTTCATTTAAAAATTTGTTTCCCTGCGTAAATGTATTACATTAAATGCTGACTAGAGCCAAAGCTAAGATAAATGGCAGGAACAAGGAGTCTATTGGTGAAACGGCAGTTCAGGAAGCGAATATTGGAAGCAGTTCAGAATCAATTTGTGAATCATTGTATATATCTATGGTGAACGACACGGAAGAGGAGTCGTCAAAGTCAGTGCAAGAAGTAGCAGTCACGTGTGATTAGATTGCCCACTTGGTTTCAAGTATAACGTCACTTTTGGAGTGCACTTTGCATATTAGGCCAATAGTCGATGACAGCTCTGCCAACGCTGCCGTATCGGACAACGCCGAGCCACCTAAAAGAACGTCAAAGGAACTAGATACCATTTATATTAACTTTATTATATTAATATAAAATTTGTGGATTATGAAGCTCGATATATACAACTTCAAGTAGTTTGTAGGAATAGACAAGAAAAGTCGGTGGAGAGAAGCAGAAATACTATCGACTTCTTTAACCAACCAGTCCATTAGACCTAAGCCATCATTATCATAAAATCAACGGCTCACTTCTAAATGGATATCTTTTTTTATGGGAGTAAGTCCTTAATTGGAAAGAATCAAATGGTTTAGGAAATTGTTGCCACCCCCTGCCGAGGTCAAACTACTAATATTCAAATCAAACCTTTCACAGCAGTAATATCATAAATGTACGCCCCAACTTGAATAATTTTCTAACTACAATTGCATTGTTTACTTTATCTGGTGCCTCTTTCTGTCTTTCTTTGGTCTGCGCACCCCCCACGTGTGTAAAATGACGCGCACATTGCTCCATGCCGTACGTGCCTGCCCCGCAGTAAGGAATGTCAGTGGTAAGAGGCGCTTAAAATCAAAAAGTTCACGTGACCAAGGATTGTCACTCCCACAACACGCCTCAAAAACAACGTTGGGGACATAGTTTTGGGGCGACAACAACAACAACAATAACTAAAATGCGGCAACACGCGCTTCATTGCCGATGCATAAGCCGGTGGTTTTAGCTTGAAAACGCGACTCACTACTTCAAGCCGATCCCGGAGATACCCTTATCAGAGAACTCAAACCAAATTATGCGCAACAAGTGGAAGGGAGCACCAAAGGTAAACTCTGCGACACTCAACCTTTGGACCGCTTTGGGTTAAGTCATTGTCGATGACCGGAGAAAAATTTCGTTGCGTGACCATGGCACTTGGGATGCCCGTAAATGTGAGCAAGCAATTTTTGTCGACTTTTTACATTGCACTTTCCGGTTAACAAATTGAACGGACATGTAAACCGCCGTCAGCGCAATTTGATCAATATCAGCGCGAAATGTTCAGGGGCTTATCGTGAAGGCGAAAAACCTCCAAATCCATTGGTCCGCACATAATATACATGTTATTACTAAAACATCTGGGTTCAGCGGGACCTCAAAAAGGTTCGATGCTACCGAAAATTCGCGAGCCGGTCATTTCAATGATGTACTTTTAAATGCATTTCTCTACATACATATATATAAGACAGCTTGTCAATACGCTTTCTTATCACACAACTTAAGTAACTCGTAATAAAAAAATCGTCTATAAGTAGCAAATACAACTTGCACTTTCTTTTGAAGGAAATATTTTCTAAACTATGCACGCCTTGTAATTTGTTATTTCTTTCAGTTGCGAGTGGTTTAAGTCAAAGTGTGCTGTATCTATGTATAAGTAGCGGCGCTAGACTAATGGCGCACTAAATTTGAAGCGAAAAATTATTTCCTTGCTATTGTTGCTACTACTTGGTAAATACACTAGTATTTTTAGGTATCACTATTATGAAATAAATAAAAATTAGCAAACAAAATACATACTTAATTCTTCACTTTCCTTTCGAATCGCTTTTGTAGCGCTCCAGCAACCGCGACATAGAAATTTAAGTTGATTTTAAAACAAAATGTAAGAATTATCTCGTTCTAGTTGTGTTTTAGCGCGTGCGGCTACATTGCCCATGGGATCGGAGGGTGGCGGTATGCCATTGGTAGAATGTGCGGCTTCTTTGTAAAAGAATTCGGCACGTCCGGACTTGTAGCCATAGAATACTGCATCATGTGATCTAAAATTGGAATTAATTTTATTTAATTTAATGCCATAATTTTCAAACTTGTTGCCGCTTAATAAGCGTAATGTAAAATGCATTTCAACTTATTTACCTTAAAATCAAATCGGTAATTTGATCACTCGGCTGCAAATCTTGATGCATACATTCGAGTGTGTTCAATTCCATTGGGTTCCATGGTCCATTACGCTCTAACGTATCCCATTTCGCATCGATACTCATGAAACTATAGCCGCCTTCACGCTTATCGCCTTCCACATTGACATTGAGCGTTTGATTCAGATGTGATTCCATATGAGGAAATTTCGCTACGCAAATATCGAACTGAAAGAAATGAGAAATAAAATAAAACTCTAGAACTAAGTTTAGAATTTTTGCACTTTATGAATAAATAAAATAAAATGTTTGGTACTTTATTTTAGGATTATATTATAATATTGAAAAATCGTTTGTACGGGCGCTAAATGATATAGGCCTCCCATAGCGATGTTGTTGTTGTTGTTGTTGTTGTAGCGGATTCGCTAACCCCGCTTAGGCACAGGCTTGAGTTAGTCTAAGTCGTCGAGGTCATCTAAAGGTAGGGAAACGAGCTGTTTCGACGGGGTTGGACCAAAGGGAGAGGGGTGTTAGATGAGTAGGTTTGAGGGGGCATGTGAAGAGGTGGTTAGTGTCGTGCGGGGACTCTCCACATGCCGGGCATACGTTAGGTATGCTGGGGTCTAGTCTGGATAGGTAGGAGTTTAACCTACTACAATATCCAGACCTAAGTTGTGTCAGGGTCACGCGGGTCTCTCGAGGCAGCTCGAGCTCGTTGTCTGCTATGGGTGGTGGTATTTCTCCGAGTACGCCATTCACTGGAAGGGAGTTCATGAAGGTGTTAACTGACTCCTGGTGAATGGCGTTCAGTGCCTGTCGATACGCCGTCCTGTCCAGCGGTTGTTGTGTGTTGCTGGATCGTGTCTTTGAGGTCTAGTACTCCCTTCCTGATGTGCCTAGGTGGAGGTTCAGCTTCTATTAAGTGCCTACTGGGGTGCTCCCTGCGGTAGCATCCCAGTAGGAACTGCTTGCACAGCAAAGCATTATGCTCCTTAACTCGTAGCATAGATGCTTCCCTGTGCAAGTGATGCTCCGGCGACATCAGGAGGTTTCCTGTCGCAGTCCTAAGGGCGGTGTTTTGGCAAGCCTGTAGCTTCTTCATCTGCGTCCCGTTCGTCCCCGGCGTCCAGATCGGAGCAGCATAGTTTACGACCGGCCGGCCAATTGCTTTGTAAGTAGCCAGCAAAGTTTCTTTATCTTTACCCCAGGTGCTGCCGGCTAGCGCTTTGAGTATTTTGTTGCGGCTCTGGAGTTTTGCGGCAATTGCGGTCGTATGCGGAGTGAAGGAGTGCAGGCTGTCCAGAGTTACTCCCAATATTTTTGGGTTATTTATCGTCGGAATTTTTTCGTCATCGACCTTTACATCTAGTTCAAGCCTGTACTCCTTCGTCCAGCTGGTGAAAAGGGTAGCCGAGGATTTTGTCGGTTGGATTCGTAGTTGTCTTGCAGTGAAGAAGTGGGAGAGATCAGCGAGGTAGCCGTTTACTTTCGACCTCCCATAGCGATCATTTTCGGTGCCAATGTTTATCTATAGGCACGACTGTAAAATACAAAATTTCATGTTGTTGTTGTTATAGCGGTTCGCTAACCCCCGCTTAGGCACAGGTTTGATCAGGCTAAGTCGTCGAGATCATCTAATGGTAGGTCCAGGAAACGAGCTGTTTCGACGATGTTGGACCAGAGGGAAAGAGGGGTTAGATGAGTTGGTTTGAGAGGGCAGGTGAACGTTGGGTATGCTGGGGTCTAGTCTGGATAAGTAGGAGTTTAACCTGCTACAATATCCAAATCTGAGTTGTGTCAGGCTCACGCTGGTCTCTCGAGGCAGCTCGGGCTCGTTGTCTGCTATAGGTGGTGGTTTTTCTCCGAGTACGCCATTCACTGGAAGGGAGTCCTTGAAGGTGTTGACTGACTCCTGGTGAATGGCGTTCAGTGCTTGTCGGTACGCCGTCCTGTCCAGCGGTTGTTGTACATGTTGCTGGATTGTGTCTTTTTAAGTCTAGTACCCCCTTTCTGATGTGCCTAGGTGGAGGTTCAGCTTCTATTAGGTGCTTACTGGGCGACCTAGGTCAACAGGTAACTTTAGTCTAAGTTCGCCAATGGAGCAACACCTTGCGGCTGGTTTGCTCCAAATCCTTCTGATCAGCGCAGGTGTCGAAACCAACCCTGGTCCGACGGACTATTTCTACTGCGTGTGTCACAAAAGACTCCACCACTCCTCCACATCGGTTAGATACAGAATTTCATGCTCTTAGATGCTTTTTTCACGGATTTTTTTACCCAAAACGTTATATCTGAGCAAATCGGTTATATGGGGCCTATATTATATAGTCCTCCGATCTAGATGATTTTCGATGTTAATGATTATCTGTAGATATGAGTCTAAAATACCAAAGAGGGACATACAGACATGACTAAATACCCTCAATTCGTCATACTGATCATAACGTCATATAAATATCTAGAGGTCTATCTTTTCTCTTTCTAATGTTAAGGTAATTCAAACCAAAGTTCATGAAAGGTATACAAAATTATCTCACATTTCCCATGAATTTTTGCGCTTTTTGAACTTACCATTTTTTGCACAATCGGCTGCTGACGTGCCGTACCCTCTTCCATCAACAACAGCAACGTCATATTTTGCTGACCGCACATATACAGCTCTAAACGTTTCAGGCCGTTGGACGTGCCCTGTGTGGTTGCGGACAGTGTCGCTAAAGCATCCACTGCATCATCACATTTCCACGAACTGCGTCGCGAAAATACTTTGGTGGTATTGATTGGCGTTTGTATTTCAACTGTGCTGACATCCCAAGCGCCGTTGCTGCTGCTGTTGTGTTCCTCATTCAGTGCCAGCACAGAGAGTTTAGCCATAAGTGGTGTTAGTGGCACACCACCTGATTGCTTGCGACCACCCATAACAAAGGGCAATTCACGTTCATTAGATGGCACAGCCGCATCGGCGAGTGGCTTGAGGGGAAGACTAAGTGATTTCTTATCAAGCGGTGTTTTCGCTTTTATCACCACAGCGGCGGGTAGTTCAGTATTTAGGTTGCGATCTGCTTTCAAAGCTGTTGTGCCGCTGCCATTCTCTGCCGAGTCCTGACGCAACGATCCATCCAACTTTTTCAGCTCGTTATCAAACTCCTTAAATTCCTCAATAAGTTGTGCGATTTCGACATCCTTTTTGGCGCTATCATTACCGCTGCCATTCTCGACCCAAAGGCGATAATATTTTTCGATAAATTCCTGAAAAAGGCTACGCGAAATGGGTTGACCATTCTCATTAAAAACGGGATAGGTGGGATCTGTTATGGTGCGTGATGTACGATTATTCTCCTCAGAGTTATCCGAGTTTTGCTCGGCGTCATCAATATCATCGTCATTCTCGATAAAATCAGGCGATTCAACGGCCTCGATGCCGCTTACGCTGCCATTACGATTGACATCAGTCTTAAAGCTATGCGAAAATTGTTTTAAAGATAATTTCTTCGAGATCTTCTTGAGCGAATCTTGCAAGTCGGTAAAAGAGTTGCGGCGCTCCATTTGCTTATTTGGATTGGCGATGAAATTTTGAAAGAACTTCTCAAAATCGAATTTCAACGAATTACGGCGATTGGGTTTTTGTGTGCTTTGCTTATTCGAGTTGTTCTCGTCCTGGCAGATAGAAAAAAAAGGTCAGCTAAAAAGTCTGCATTACATAAATAAACACCAACACACACTCACCTCAGTATTTGCGCATATAGACATTATGCTCCCCACTTGCAGCACTTTATTCTCGGTCATTGGCGTGGAGCACACGCTAGTGCGTCCTATAAATTCCGGATACGAATCGGTCTCGTCGAAATTTATCGAAGCAATGCCCGACTCGGGCAACTCCTTCGAACTACCCATGCCGTTGCGATTGCGCAAAGGCAGATGATTGGGTCGTATCAACAGGGATTTAGGCCGCACTGATGCCGGTGTTTGCGACGCAGCTGTAATTGCGACAACACCTTCTTCTTCAACATCTTCACCGGTCATGCCAACAGCTGTGCTGCTACCCTCTTCTGGTATGTTTGTAAATATTAACGATTTATCGCGTTTCATTTTACGCTTTGCATACTGAAACGGCAGCAAACCCTGTGACAGTTGTGTGGTCTGCAAAGTTTGGGCGCGTTGTGCGTCGGCAGCTAAACGACTGTATTGTGGAACGTCAACATAAACTATCAACATTTGTACACCGTTAGGTATGTGGAAATCGGTGATGTGTATTTGCTCGGCGGTGGTGCGTATATGTAGCGGATCGGTAAGTACCAGCTGTTTGGTTATGGTATCACCCAGTTGGGTGGCGACCACTCTGTGTGCAAGCGAGAACAAGTTTGATTAATTAAAAGTTTAGCAAATAAAGTGTGTGTGTGTGTGTGTGAGTTCGTGTTGGTAGGTGTGTGTGTGTGTGTGTGTGTGGAGGAAAAGAGAGAAGTTAAGACTTAATAAATTACACACTTGTTATGATATAACACGGCGCCGCCCAAAATACCCTTTGTTTGTTGACAGCATTGTAGTGTTTGTATGGCATCCAAAAATATATTACTAGCCGTCTGCAAGTAGAGGGATGGGTTTGTTGAAAATTATCATATAGAAATGGTGGGAATGTTTACGTACTTTTGGCATACGCAGTTTTGGTACGTTTTGAAAAATATGTCCATTGCGTTGTAAAATCGGTAGATATGTTTCGAATATATGATATAGCTTTTCGGAGAGATTCTTATATTGTGCTTGTTGTGGGAACTGATCGAAAACGCTTTGCAGATCACGATGAAAGAACTTCACCAGCGAGGCGAGCAGATCAGCGCGTTGTTGCAGCAAATAATCTGAGATATTGCGATCAGTGCCGACCACCTGGAGGGTAATGAAGTATATGTATAATCGACTGATTATGCAAATATTTTTGTAAATAATATATATATATTTTTTTTATTATTAACTATTAATAAATATATAGTATATTTTAACTATTAATAAATATATAGTATAAGTAAATATTGCAGTAATTTTTATATATGTAAATACATACATATATGTATCGAAATAAATTTTTTATTATAAAATAAAAATTTCTATTAAAAAAGGTATAGGTAAAATAAATATAGTATTTTAATAATAAAATTATATTTATATACAAATACAAGTATATCCCTACTGTACAATATATTTATTTTATTCATATTGTATTTAACATATTATATTTGTTCTTATTAAAAGTTTATAATCTAAAAAAATAATCAGTAAACAAAAATAAAAAAAAAATAAACTCATTAATTTTTACAAGCATAAAATATAGCTACAAAAATATAGGGTTATCCATTTCGTGTTTTTAAAAGTACAGTTTTGTATTTTGACATTTGTCAAACTTAGCTGTTGAAACAAACATGTTTGGTTTTAGTTAAACGTTATAGTCAATAATCTCACAACGCGTTAAATTCATTAAAATCTTATAAAAAAAATTGCGATTCAAAATTTTTTTTAAGTTTAATTTCGGGACAGCAAAATTGACAACCCTGTACAATAAATTTACATACGTGTTTCATGCACATAATTATACACTTATATAAATACATATGTATTAATGTACATATGTATATACATATGTACATGCATATATATCGGCGCTTTGTAGCCACTGAAGCGATTTTCGTTCGAGCTTTTAATATAAAATTTATAAACATTACGAATAATATATAAAAAAATTAAAAAATGTGCTCGGAAAATAAATATAAAAATTAAAAAAAAAGATGCGTATGTGCATAAGACCATAAATACATATGTTTTGCAAAAGGAAAAACATACGAAAAAAAAAAAAACAAAAGAAAAAAAAATATTTTAAAATATTTAAAATTTAAATAAAACAACTCACATATTTAACTAACCTTGAGTTAAAAATATATATAAATAAATGCGTACAATTTTCAAATATAAACACACAAACTAAAAATATAATGAATTTTTCGTTCAATCTTTATTTTGGATAGCAGAGTCAAAATAAAAATAAAAGATTTAAAAAAAGTTTAATTTAAAATATTTCTTTTTTTTTGAAAACTCACCAACGTGAATCTGCCAAATTCCTTAAGTACAAATTTGCCATTCTGCAATGCCATTATTTTCGGTTTAAAGAAACAATCCTTTAGAAAATACGATGTGCCCATAAGCTGACCACAAAGAGCCACCTTCTGTGTGTCCGATACCCAACTGGGATGAAAGTAGAGCACTGCCTTAACCGGATCATCAGCCTCGTCTTTAAGACACTCAGTGTCATAGACGAAAACAATCATAGTCTCCCTATAAATGAGATTTTTTGTTTTATAAGTTAATATGATGTGATATTATATAAAAATGAAAATACATAAAAAAAACACGCTAAAAAAAATCACCTTTCATTTATGCTTCTCCTACGAGCATGCTCCATTCTAAACCAACGCAAGCGTTTAGATTTTCGAAAACTGGTAAACATTTTGTTGACTTATAATTTTTATTTTTATTTTTAACTTGATTTGAATCATGCAGAAAATATTTAATAGGCCAATAACGTTTCACCAAAGCTTTGCCGGATTTGTACTGTTGGCATATTGGCACAATTGCGACTAACCAAAACGACATTTATCAACATACTAGTGATAAAGTATATTTGCTAATTACAACGCTACAAGCACACCGCCAAAGTGAAACTGATAACACTGTCTCAGCTCCTACAGCCACTTCTACAACGTACACATATGAACATAGCAGTAGGAATGAGCAACAACAATTCCCGTTTATCTCCAAACAAATTCTAAGCACACAACGTATAGCACAGTAGATGTCTATTAAATCACATTTACTGAATTGCGTGGCTACTCCCAGTCAGAGAGTCGATGACGAACTCTTCTTGCGACTATGAAGAGTCGTGGGAAATAGTAAGGCGTGTTTCACTCGTATCGGTGGGGGTGGTAGACAAACAAATAGCAATTAGGCGATTGAAATATGAGAAGACGTGAGAGTTGAAATGAATGTGATAGACAAGCATGCTTATTTGTTTTCATTGTTATTGTTATTGTTGCTGTGGTTTTTTTTTTTTTTTTTTGAAAAGCTTATTACCAGCGTTGGGGGCCAAATGGTTTATATTATACTAACATTCTGTAGTATAGATTTATTGGTTTAGATGTTTTTCTTGCAACCGTCAATATGGGTGCACTTAAAAATGTAAACAGTAGGAAAATGTGGGTGTGTGTATACGTAGAGCTTCAAAGCAAAATGTAGATACAACGGAAATAGGGGAAAATGGGTGTGGAGCCAGCCACGAGGAATGCAAGCAGCTGAAGGGAATTTAATATATGCACGTAGTAAGTATGTATGTGCATATTTTATACTGTACTAGAAAAAAAAAACCGGCTGAATTTATCAATGCTAATTGAAGTGCATCTCAACAAACGTGGTGGTTTTTCTATTAATAAATTATTTACTTAAATTTTCAATAAACTTAAAAAGGTGCGCTTATGTACAGCATTACCATAGTACCTCTATATTACACATACAAAATTCATTAAAGACTAGCATCACTTACTTGGCCATCCTTTTAGTGTAGATTTTCAGCACACAAATGCTTTCACTACTTGCACGCTTCCAACTGCTGCAACTTTAATGCATTGAATTCATCCTTTTTAATATAACATATTTAAATATTTAATTTTATTTTACGAACTAGAGGAATTTTTAATTTTAAATTCCACAGCACGCTAGGAAAAATTCAAGAGGGTTGGTATTTTGTTATCAACGCAAAATGTATTCCAAATGTCAAAACGCTGATTTATCGATTTTCCAATTGACAGTTTGAACGTCACTGGTTAAATGCACCGCACTTTTACAGAGCGTGTCAAATGTCTCCAGTGCAAGAGTAAAGTGGTGGCGAATCAAGAAAATTTCGACCCTAAATAAAGTAAGCTATAATTTGCAAGTAAGGTTTTAGACACTTCAAAAAGTTATAAATATGTTGCTTAAATTTTTTTCATTTGGTTTTATCTATTTTTTAATGTCACTTATCAGTCAAAAACAGCATACACTCATGTTCCCAATTGCGATAACCAACAATCCATTCTTACTACACATGCAACCCTGCACATTTTATACATGCCCACTCTGTTTGCTGGGCAAGAATTCATCCACTTTATGTATACATACAGAAGACACAGAGAGCTATGGCCACCGACGCACTCAAGTGAAGTGAATTGTGCTAAAGATTTGTGTTTTGTTTATTTGTTGTTTTAAATTAATTAATATTTTACAATTATCCCTCGTTTTTGGTGAGTTCAATATTTAATGGAAGCTTCAAAAAAAGCAAAATATTATAAATTAATGTGCTAATTGGTGAAAAATTATGTTGTAAAACCAGTTGAAAAAGTGCAGGAAATTGGGACTCATTACCCGTTTTCCTATTTTCTTTGCGCTGCTTTTATTTGGGCGCTGCAATAAAACGTACATAGGCGTATATGTGTGTGTGTTGTGTACGTGAATACGCGCTGGCGTTGTTATTTTTGTTGTATTTCTATGTGGTTGGTATATGTTATATGTATGTACATCTGTATTTTTTTTTTTTTTCGAAAAAAGCAAACAGGTTTTGCTGGAGTACGCTGTACGCTAGTGGCAAACATAAAAACTAAAAGCAACAATAACAATAACGCCAACAGCAAACAAGCTTGTGGATAGTGTGTGGAGCAACTTAAAAAAACAACAAAAACAACATACACATGCACAGTTAATGTATGCACAAAAGAAGCAACAAGAAGAGTAGAAATAACGTCAACAACACTGTTTATATACACATACATATATACATACATACGTACATAAGTCGTTATTATTGACGATAGCATTTTGGTTAGTTGACAATGTTGGTGCTGGTGTTACTTTTATATGACTATTGACCAGCATGAGGAGTACGGCGCGGTGAAGTGACAAAACAATGTAGAAAAATAAAACTCGTCATAAGTGGGGCCACAGGTGAATTGGAGTGGATTGGATTAAGGCGGGGACCCACACGTTCTTCTCGTTCGATTACTCGTATGCGATCGTTGCTTGTTCGTCGATTGCTTTACTAGATTGCTGGCTCGCTGTTTGGCTAGCTCATTTTGTTGGCCATTGAACAACAACAACAACGGCAGCAGCAGCAAAACAGCAACAATATTCCGAACTAGCAAAGAATAGATACATACATACTAAATTAAACAAAAAAAGAGTTCAAAAAAATAAAACAATTAATATAACTTTGTATTGAATAAACTAGCAACGAGAAGACAAAAGGTCTAGCAGGAGTCAAGTTTGCTATCGAATGAGACGAGTGTTGGCGTACATACATACATATGTGCTTAAAGATACGACCAGATATGTAAGCTTTTTGTAGAAAAGTAATATTGGAGCAACGTTAGAAGTGTCAATAGAATATCGTGCCACTTGCGTATATGTACATATGTATATGTATGTGCTTGTGTAAAATGAAGAAAAATTGATTCTTGTTTATGAACTATTGTGTGCTTGCAATATTTTTGCTATTGCCATTTTGTATCCAATTCAAGGGTATCTACGCCATGTTGTCTACCAAAGCAGCTACCATTTTTGTGCTTTTCCATAAAAGTAAGTGCCAACAAGCACAATTAAGCAACTACACATATATACTCATACCTACTCGCTTGCTAATTGAAGGTGTTGAAGGAGTATTTTATATGCCAATTATTATGCTTGCGCTAGCTAAATGAGTAGTAACAGGAATGATTGATTTTATATACATACATACAGATATATATATATAATATATATGTGTGTGTGTGCTCGCACATCTCTGGGGCGTAGTGGGTTGAAAAATCATATACGGCAGTGACTCACATTAACCGGAAGAGATGCTGTAAAGTGTAGATCATAAACCTTGTCAATCAATATTGCTGATACCAATATGCATTCAAAGTAAATATATGTATATTAAATACTTGTAATGCACCTATCAGTGCATCAAGTTCATGCTACATTGTTCCGCTCACCTCCACTTTGGACTCTATTTTATTATTTATTTTCACTTATGCCACTACGCTTTGGATCTACTCGGTAACATAATATTTGTATTTAAAATTATTATCAATTAGCGGAAGCTTGATTGTTTGTCGCAGTGTAGTTCAAGTACATTTGTATGTATGTATGTATAAGCGAAGTAAGTTGAGCTTAAATACGCCTCTTGAAAATTCCATACTCACTATCATACAAATTTACATATTTCATTCATGATTTTTGGTTAGTAGCGCTTAAATGCTGCATCTTGGTGGTGTGGCACCTTATCGCAACGCTGAGTGCTATCGCGTGGGCGCTGGCAAAGAATATGAATGAATGAATGAATGAATTTTAATTGTTCACTCTTTATAATTAGTGAAAAAAAAACCGCAACTGGTTCTTTACCAATTATGGTGTAGTGTAGCTTTATTTTAAACTAAATACAAGCTTACATGCATATATTACTTACTTATATTTTATACTAATAAATATGAGTATTTACGCAAGCTTCGTAGCAGACAATTAGCGAAGACAGTGGCATGTGATCATCAGCAGCCATTAATGTGACGTTTGTGCATTGGAAATTACTTTGACGTTTTATTTTATTTATTTTCTGTGAATGCATTCCTATATAAAAACAGTTGCGGTCAATATCTTAGTACTGCTAAATTGGTCTTTAATTATAAAGAGAACCACATTTTTTTTATTAATTTTTATTTTTTAGATTTTCTCGAAAATCAATATTGAAGGCTTGTTGCTTTTGTTGCACTTACGTGACTTGTTGATTGTAAAGCTTATTAGGACAATAAAAATCTTAGTGGCGCGTAGTGTATGAAAAAAATTGTCATTAATATTTATGTATGTAAATAAATCTAATTATCAATAGATATTCTCCATTGGGTGATAAAAATTTAAGTAATCTTTTTTAATCATTTCAAGAAGTAAGAATTTTAGTCACTCATAAAAAAAAAATATTATATTTCACCGTATATTGGCACGTATTCCTTCCATCAACTACCAACCAAGTGATAAAAGCTTGAAAAAGTCCAGCATGTTTGGTAAGCAGTTTCCTTGCGCAGCAACTAAAGAAACCAGGGCAGACGTTAATGCGCCTGTAAGTTTGAAAAGAATACGTCGACAGTCCGCATCCTACAGTCCAAAAAAATTAACCTTATAGACTTAAGTAGATATAGAAAAAAGGCATGCGTATTTCATAAATGTGCATCATTTTGTGGTCGGAAGAAACAAAAATAGTCTTCTAAGTCATACAGTCAACACCTCCAAAGACTGCATCCCCGTGAATGGCGTGCTCGGAGAAAAAAAAACACCCATTGCAGATAAGGAGCTCGAGCTGCCTTGAGACGCGCGCGTGATCTTGGCATAACTTAAGTCTAGATACTGTTGCAGGTTAAACTCCTACCTAACCAGACTCGACCCCAGCACACACAACCTATGCCCTGCATATGCCACTTTAAGTTGACACACTGACAGCCCGTTTCCTGAACCTCCCATTAGATGACCTCGACGACTTAGGTTGATCCCCCTGTCCCTAAGCGGGGCTAGTGAACCGCTACTTGGAAAAAAACTTGGAAGACCACCACGCATATATGATTTAATGCACTCGCTTGACACTGGCACAAATTAGGTCTGGATATTGTAGCTGGTTAAAGTCCTACCTATCCAGACTTCACACCAACGTACGCCCAGCATGTGGAGAGTCTCTGCACGACACTGATCACCTCTTCACAGGCCCCATTAAGGCGACACATCTAACCCCCCCTCCCTCTCCCTCTGGCCTGATCCAGTCGAAACACCACATCTCCTGGACATCCCAATAGATGACCTCGGTGACTAAGATTGATTTTAAACCTGTCCCTTAGCGGGATTAACGTAGCCGCTACAACAACAACAACGTTATGGAATGCACCTGGAGTAAGGCATGCCTATCGTAAGAAGCGAATAAAATCCAAAAGTTCCCGCGACAGTCGCGTCTTTATACCGGAACGAACCGAACAAACGCATTTCGACTGTGTGGCTCTCTATGGCTGCAATTGTGACGTTAATTTTATGTTTCAGTGTCACAAATCGACGCTGGATTATTGGAGCAGCACTTAAGCTTTCTCGGCTCGCCACGAAAACTTGACCAACAGAGTCAAATCGCAAGCCGCTGCGAGACGGGTCGTAGAGGAATTAGTCGGTTAATTATGCTATCTTCGGACGTAGTGCGCAAAAGATTGTTTGAAACACGTTAGCTGTGAGGCACGTAACGCCGCCATAGTGGAACTACACAGCGTCCATGTCATTATCTTCAACATTTGGAAACAAAGAATATCTCAGCCTGGCAGATAACAATTGGCATTTCAATTCCGCATTTCTTCTACCCGTTAAAAAAGAAAAACGTACCAATTACGTACCGGTGCACATGCCGCACACCAAACAGTCACTCGTTGAGGTTGCATTGGCTTTTCTATGCTTATGAGTGGCTTGCCTGTGCTTTAAATGCGGCAGTTTTGATTGTTGTCGAATTTGTTGTTGATGGTTGCGCGAGCTTTGCACTAAACGCACTGGACGAGATCGTAAACAAGTTGTTTTGTCCGAGATCGGGCCGGTTAGGCGAACTCGTTGCATAAATTGATCCATACACAGACTGAAAGGCTTCTTATTTATTATTCGAAATATCATTTTTTTAAAGTGCCCGCCATCTAACATTTTTTTTTTTGAACTAGTGGTTATTTTGAGTGTGGTAACACTGATTTTACATCTGATTTGACAGAAAGTTAGTTTTATCCTTCCGCTGAACGAAAATGGTTGTGTATACGATTGAGGAACGCGTTAAAATAGTGCAGTTTTACTTTGAAAATGTGTGCGAAAATTACGCACGGAAATGAGCCGTAACAAAGCACCGTCCGCTCCGTATGTGCGCTTTCTTTTGAAAAAATTGAGAGAAACCGGCACAATTATTGATAAACCAACGCGTGAGAAACCAAAAAAAGTGCGTACTGCCGGTAATATCGCTGCTGTGGCCGAGAGTGTGCGTGAGGCGCCCGGAACATCAGTGAAGCGTCGCTCTCAACAATTGAACATTTCCGAGACGTCCCTTAGGCGAATTTTGAAAAAAGACCTTGGTATGACACCGTACAAAGTTCAATTGGTTCAAGAATTGAAGCCACGAGACCATCCGATGCGGTTTGCCTTTGCCGAAAGGGCATTTGTTTTATTGCATTTAAAAAAAAAGAGTTACTTGGCGGACCCTGTATATGCATGCATGTATATATGTACCAACTTCTGTTGTCTTATTGATTGAAACATTTATTCTTAAATTGAATACTAAGCACTCTGGCTGACAGATATTTACAATTTACAATTTACTTCCATTTCAATGCAAACACCTGTGTAATAGTTGACGTGAATTTAGCTATGAATTCATAAATAATTAAACTATTAAGTATTAAACATTTCAAGTGAAACGCGTGAATCATATGGAACACGCGCGGCCAACATGTAGATACATATATATATGTTTGTATGTATGCATATATGTATATAATATGTGCATAGCTACTGCTGGATAATATTATTAACATATTGTTTTGTTGTAGGTACCTACGTAAATCGCATTAAGCGTTAATGCACGAGCGCAGATTAACATTTTGCCAATAAAATATAAATATTTATATATCTATTTATATGGAGGTAAACACATATGTATGTACATACATATGTATATACAAAAATCGAAATGTATTTTTCTCCAGCTAACAGCCCTGTATGCGTATATATATTATATATGTACGAGGTGTATTCAAAAAATATCGCGAACTTTGAATTTTCGCGGGTTACGTATAATCGAGTTTCGATTTCTTTGTGGCGTTATGTTGGTACTCATGTCTGTCGACATGCTCGGCCATTTTGAATGCTCACTTAATTGTTGACAGCTGCTTTGCTTGCACGTGTGTTGGATGGTCTTCGATTTTTACCTATTCAAAAGAATGGATCAAAGAAACTGTATCAAATTTTGTGTGAAAAACGAAATTAAGTGCGCGGATGCATTCCGAATGTTGACTGTGGCATACGGAGAAGCTACCTTGGACCGAAGCTACCTTTTTCCTGTGGTACAAAATGTACTCAGAAGGCCGAGAAGATGTGAACGACGACGGACGTCCGAGCACTTCAACAACAGACGAAAAAATTAATGAAGTGGAGAAAATGGTATTGCCACAGGGTAGAACGGTCAATAAGGAATATTACCTGCAAGTTGTGCGTAATTTGCGCGAAGCAATCCGCCAGAAACGCCCGGATTTGTGGAAGAATAAAAATTGGCTTTTGCACCACGATAATGCCCCTGCTCACACAACGTTGCTTGTGCGCGACTTTTTGGCCAAAAACAACACACTAATGATGCCGCAGCCATCGTATTCCCCAGATCTGGCCCCCTGTAACTTTTTCTTGAAGAGGCCCATGAAAGGACTACGCTACGATTGACGAGATAAAGACGGCATCGAGGGAGGAGCTGAACAAGATAAAAAAAAAAAATGATTTTTTGAAGTGCTTCGAAGATTGGAAAAACCCTTGGTACAAGTGTATGATATCTCATGGGGATTACTTTGGAGGGGACAAAATAGATATTCATGAATAAATAAATAATTTTTGAAAAAACCCAAAATTCGCGATATTTTTTGAACACACCTCGTATGCATGCGCATTCGTATATATATATTTTTTTTACCAACACGAAAAACTTAAAATAAACAAACAAAAATTTCGCGGAAATACAAATATTCGCGCAAACAGCATTAAATATACAAAAATATATATAATATATTTGTAGAAACAATCAGATATTTTGGAAAATTGCCTTGCTTTTTGCCAAATCGATGGTAATTTATTGGCATGCATATTTTTTGGCTAAAAGTTTGGGCTTTTATTTTGATTTTACGGTATTTTATTTTATTTATTTTATTTTATTTATTTTATTTTTTTTATTTATTTTTTTTTATTTTATTTATTTTTTTTTTATTTCATTTATTTTATTCTATTTTTTACATATTAATTAGCTGGAAAAGCGTATTGGAAACTGAATTTACGCATTATACAACAAATAAATTGAATTGAATCTTCAAAATGAGCAAAAAAAGTGAACAAAAAGAATTGCTTTGGATTGACAATGCCGAAGTCTATACACCTTTCATGTGTAAACTAATCGTTTGTATGGGTGCCATATGATATAGTCCTCCGATTTCGATTATTTTCGGTGGCAATTTTTGTTAGTATATACGTGTGTAGAATACCAAATTTCACGCTTGTAGTTGCTTTTTTGAAAAATTTTTGAACCTAAAACCAAATATGAATTTGAGCTACTTAACGACCTGAACAACCAGATAGTCCATGGCCTCGACCCAAACTGGCACTGAAGTTAAAAAAAAAAAAAACATATGATACCGTCAATCATTTTGTGTAACTGTCGAGCTTCGAAGTTACATTACCGCCGGTGTGGCAGCGGTATTCCATGGGCTAACTGCGTGGTCGACAATTATCGGTAGAGTTTCGAGTTGAAACTTCCAAACTTCGTGAGACTAAACAAGGGGCTCTGCAGGGAATGGATATCGTCTGCTTTCTTCTGTTTAATTTTTACATCTCGAAGCTCCCTCCTCCACCAGTGATTGATCTCATAAGACGATGACTGTGTGATATTGGCGTCTGGCTAGGATATTGATGACTTATGTTACTGGCACACGAAACAGAATCTCATCTAAACATAAGAAAACTTGGACTCGTTTACATCGGCTCTATTGGTATAGTCTCATAGACAAAAACCGCTCGACAACACAGCGTACGGAAAGGCTTTAAACGCCATTCAACGAGTGTCCGTCAACAACTCTCTGCTTGTAAATGACTCCCGGAGACCAAGCTCAAGATGTCTAGATCTGAATTTCCTATTTATCCAAACATTAGATCGACATACCTGTACGTAAAAATGCAATGCATGCAGTAAGACCACGCACGCGATTTACCATCTCTTTGCATGCTACCTAAAACAAATTCATTTAATCTCTAGTCCGAACCCGTTGAAACAGTGCGGTTCCTGGACATCTCATTAGATGAGATTGATGGGCTGGATACACAAAGAAGCTCGATTTATCGATACCACCTGATTTGAGGAGGAAAAAACCTCCTGGGACCGAATTACTATCTGCAAATCGCGTCTGAATCGGAACAAAATCGACCCATTTCTGAAATAAACGTTGACTAGTGACGAGAAAAGGATCACTTACAGTAACGTCAAATGAAAGGGACCGTGGTAGAAGAGTAGTGAACCACCATAAACGGTCTCCAAGCCAAAATTTATAGCCAAAAATGTTATTGTTGTAGCCGCAAACAAATTCTCCAAAGTAGTTTTTGGGGAATGTTGCAGTGATGACAGTCATTGGCCCGTTTAAAAATCCGGCTCTTTCCGGTATAAAGGCCCGACTGTCGCGCGAACTTTTGGGTTTTAGTCGCCTCTGACGACAGGCATGCCTTACCGCGGAAAATTCTTAAGCCCCTACCCCGCAAGGGTAACAGCCCAGAAGGTTTTGTTTTGTGTTTAGTAGGGTTCGCAAGAAAACATCCACTTTTAATTTGGACCTGTACTGTAAGCAATAGAACTGTGTGAAGCCCAGCTTTGATCCACAGTAGGGGGGGGGAATTGTGTTTCATCAGAACAAACCAAAGCTCCGAGAACTTGGTTGAGAGGCTCTTATGCATTCACCCTGTATTCCGGACCTCACCCAAAGTGATGGTTCCTGTGGATGACGAATGCATTGGCTGGTGAAAAATTGGTTTCATGAAAGAGACCTAATAAATACATATATACAATGCCATTTTCATGAGAGGTATAAAAATTACCGCTACACATGCTCGTGGAAGGGTGCACAATCGAATAAAAATAGATAGATACTTCAGAACTTTTTATTTTTAATTACTCGAGAAAAATCGTATTCAGCAGCTACTTGCACTTTTTATACTTATACATACATGTGTATGTGCATATGTTTATAAAGAACTGCAGTACTTAGCTACAAAAGGGCGGGTTTTCATTTACAAAACAAAAAAAACATGGCATGGCATGGCCGTAAGCATTATCGCCAACACGCATCAGTGCACTCTTTTTTTTTTTTGTTTTTTTTTTTTTCTCGTAGCGTTAAAGACTTATTTTGTGGCTACAAAGACCGGTGAAAAGTCAAAATAACTATTACACATAACTCTTACGTTTATTATATATACATACATACATATATAACTACTCAAGAGCATAAAGAGGTAGCAAGAAAGAAGTACATGAGTCATGCCCCAGTTGATTGTGGTACGGGCGGAGTGGAGTGTAGCTCTTCTACTCATATTTATGAACATATCTATATATGTATGTATGTATGCTGGTCTGGTATCACTAGCATTTCTTCTCCATTTGTGGTTGTTTGTTGTTGATGATTTTCCATTGTTGGGGTGTTGGCATTGTAATGTGAAGTTTAATTTTAATGCTACTCAGTAGCTAACGTTGATACTGCCAGCGAAGCAGTGGCCGCGCCGCGTGAGAATAGAAAAAGAAAAGCGAGAAATATATATTGAAAATGATTCTTTGCTATTATTGACACTTTTGTTAGTTTTGACATTGAAATTCATTATTATTTATTACGTAGTGTAATTAACGTTTATTTGTTGAATTTATCATTTTCATACTTTTTTTTTGTTTTGTAAATTTCTTCAACATCATCTTCGTCATTTGATGATCTTCAGTTGGTGGCACAGTGAGTTGCTTGAATTAAATAAAATGTTTGTGTTGAAATAATGTGAAGTGCTGCATGAAACATAACTGGTTTTGGCAATGAAAATCACAAAAAGAAAAAATTTAAAAAGAAAAGATAAAAATTATAAAAAAAAGTAAATAGAAAAGATGAAAATTATATAAAAAAAAATTAAATAGAAAAGATAAAAAAATAAATGAGTAAATAAAAAAGATAAAAAATAAATAAGTAAAAAAAAGATAAATAAATAAATAAAAAATAGATAAAAAATAAATAAAAAAAAATAAAAAAATAGATAAAAAAATAGATAAAAAATTAAAAACATAGATAAAAAATAGATAAAAAAAAATAAAAAATTAAAAAAATACAAAAATAAAAAAAGATAAAAATATAAATAAAAATGGAAAAAATCAATAAAAAAAGGAAAAAATCAATAAAAAAAGGAAAAAAATCAATAAAAAAGATGATAAAAAATCAATAAAAAAAGATAACACAAAATAAATAACGAAGATATTAAAATAAATAAATAACAAAAAAATAAAAGTAAAAAAAATAAACAAATTTAATCAAAATTAAATAAAAATAAAAAAATTAAATAAATAAAATTAAATAAACAAAAAATAAAATAAACAAAATCAATAAAAAGAAAAAAAAAATAATGAAAAAAGATATATAAATAAATAAAAAACAAATGAAAAGATATAAATAAATTAAAACAAATATATAATAAAATTAAAACAAAAAAAGATAAAAGAAAAATAAAAGAGTTAAAAAAAAAAAAATAAAAAAGGCAAACAAAATAAAAGAGATTAAAAAAATAAAAAAGACGAAAAAAATAGAAAAAAAACAAAATAATAAAAAGACAAAAAAAAGATAAAAAATAAAAAAGACAAAAAGTAAAAAAGATAAAATTAAATAAAAAAAGTTTAAGAATAAATAAAATGAATAAAAAAATCGAAAAAAGTTTAAGAATAAATAAAATGAATAAAAAAATCAAAAAAAGTTTAAGAATGAATAAAAAAATAAATAAAATAAAACTACATAAATGCGAAATAAAATAAAATTAAATAAACAAAAATTAAAATAAAACTTTATAAATTAAAAAAAAAAATAAATAAAAAGATAAAAATAAATAAGAAAAGGTAATAAGAAATAAATAAAAGAAGATAATAAAAGAAAATAATTAAAAAACGGTATTTAAATAAATAAAAAACAAATGAAAATAAAAACATAAATAATAAAGTAAATAAATAAATATAAAATAAAAATACATAAATAAAAATAGATAAAAAATAAATGAAAAAAGATAAAAAAAATAAATAAAAATAAAATTTAAGAAAAGATGAAAAATTAAATAGAAAATAGAATTTAACTAAATAAATGAAAAGTTAAATTAAAATAAATAATTAAAACGTAAAATAAAACGCAAAAAAAAGATTTCAAAAAACGAAAAACAAAAATTAAGATTATTAAGAATTTTCTTGCGCTCTTTTTCTTGATAAAATTCATTGAACTATTATAAAATTAAATGCATCTCATGTACATATGTATGAATGTATGCATATCATTTCATAAACATATTTACCTACCACCACACCACCCAATAGGTCTTTCGAAACAGGTGTTTTAGGTCTTAAATTCAGTTTTGTATAAATTATACTGACAAACACACATATGTACATACTCGTATGCACATATGCATAACAAAAAGTGGTGTTTGAAAGTAGAGCATGGTATATAAATAAACAAATAATAGCCTACAAGTGAAGTGAAATGAAGTTTTTTTTTTTTTAAATTTTTGATATGAGAACGCAACATGAAGGAAGTGGAAATGATAAAAAAGCATAAAACAAATGCAAACAAAGTAAGGAAGTTGTAAGTGCGTGTAGAACCGAATATTACAAGCTCCGCTAATACAGGGTTTTTCAATAAGAGTTGTTATTCAAAGAAAAATGTATTTTTTTCCCTAAATAAGTGCTCGGATGTTTTTTTTTTTTTCAATGTAAAGCGCATTTATTTGCCGAAATATAGCGATTGTTGTGCTTTTTAAAGTACCGTTATATGGATGGTGACTATAAACTTACGTACGATGTCATCCGAGAAGAATGTGTGAACCAAGTCTCATCAAAATATTTGGATTCCCACTTGATTGACGAACAGATAGACAGACAGCCGGACAGCAAGACATGGCTAAATCGATTCTTCGTGTTATTTCGTGAAGTTTGACATACGAGCCTAGGTCCACATCTATTTCAATTATTTTATGCTGTTGTATATGTATAACCGTTAGCTGAACAAACCTAATATACCCTCTGTAAACAGTACAGGCGAGTAAAAGAAATCTAGTTTTATAAAAGCACATTTATTTATGCAGACGAGCAAGTACATACATCTGTACATACGTGTATGAATGCATTTATTTGTATATCTGTTCTTATGCATACATATATATATGAGATTAGTATTAACCATAATTTCACACGCGGTTAAAATAAATATGTACATACATACATACGTATCTCACTGCGTTCGTCTGTATGCTCGCAACTGTTTGGTGCATTTTTTTTTCTTTTTTTTTTTTGTCTGCTCTCACTTGAACCATTTCATATGGCAAACATGTAAACACACATACACACATACACACGCACGGATCTACTTGATGCTATATTTGTACTAATTTTGTATTTTAGCTACAATCGAAAATCAAATATTTGGGATAAAAGCATCGTTTGTATGTACATATGCGTGTATGTGTGTGTATGTGTGTGTGTTCGTGCACTTGTTAGCTGAGCCAATTGCTTGGCACTTTTAAACATTTGCTTTAGGCTATTTTTAAAATACACTAATGCAAAAAAAAAAAAACAATTATTTAAAATATTCAATTTCCACTTAAATACTCATTAAAAACAATAAAAAAAAATATTTTTTATTATGAAAAAAAATTAACTTTTATTGTTGGCTAGAAATTGCTGATAAATATGAAAAAAGCCAATCAAAGTAATTATTTATAGCATTTGCATGCACACATATATACATATATGTATATTTTATACGGAAAAAAGCTGCCGTTTTGCCTCAACTGATTTTAATAAAATTCCTCGTAACTCTTACGTGTCGGTTTGATTTGTGTGTTTTTTTTTACAGAAATTGCAAATCTTTTTTTCTCCGGAAAATTTCAATTTACGCAGAGATTGCAACTTCGTTTTATAAAATTCCAATATTATTTCTTTTTTTCAATCTATTGTGTATTTTTAACTCGCTCTGATTATACTTTTTTAAGAATTAATTTAAAAATGAAAAATGAAAAAAAAAAACATTACAACCAAAGATTAAAAAAACCAACCGGAATTCACGTTTTAAAATATTTCTTCTGACAAAAGTTTTCAAAGATCAAGTTCATACATATAAAATTCCCAAAAACTGTATAGACATTAAAGAAAGCTTTAAGAACTCAGTGTGAATCCTTTAAGCCGCTACAACAACAACATTACAACATGGGTGTGCTCTGCACAATCTACATATGTATGTTTATAGAGAGACGTTACAGAGTATGCCAAGGCTCCGGGTTCTCAATATCACTTTTGCTGTGTGAAAGTCTTAAGACGCAGAAGCTGCTGCTTCTACAACATGTCTCTATATCGCTATATCTATCTGAATTTTATATTCTTGAGGATGTTAACTGAGGCTGAGCAGCACCACAAGTTTCATCAGAATCGAAACTCTCTAAGCGCTTAAGCTACCGAACGAGGTTTCAGACGGGACGACATTCTATCGCGCGACTTCTTCACTGTACTCGTAATAGCGTACGACTGCTGGTTTCAGCGCCGATGTTGAGACGCACATTATTGTTGTTGTTGTAACCGCAAAAATATTCCCCAAAGTACTTTTTGGGAAATGTTGCGGGAGTGACAGTCCTTGGCCGGATAAAAATCCGGTGCCTTCCGGTATAAAGACCCGACTGTCGCGGGAACTATTGGATTTTAGCCGCCTCTTACGACAGGCATGCCTTATCGGCTGGCAAATTCTTGAACCCCTACCGCGTTTTTAGTACTGCTTTCTCCAGATTAGATAGAGAATCAAGTCGTTTTCACCTTTGCCTGGTGGTAAGCCAAGTGAAGACAACAACAACAAACAGTCAGCGCATTCGCGTGTTGCCACCCAAGTCTCTGTTGAAAGTTATATAAATTGAAATTATAGACAAAGTCGTCTATCTAGACACTAGCAATAATTCTGAGAGGCTCACAGTACTCAATTTGCAGGACAGAGTAGAATTCGTTTAGTTTTTAAATTTTTTTAATTATCATTTTTTTATGATTTAATCAATTTCAATTTATTTTTTAATTTCTTAATTTAAATTATTAATTTTTTAGTATTTATTCAATTTAATTTTTTTTAGATTTGATGTTTTGAGTAATTTCTTAGTGCCATTTTTCTTTTTATTTGAAAGTTTTTATTTATTTTTAAATATATATATTTAATTATTTTTTTTTTACGATTTATTAAATTCCATTTTTTTATATCTCCTTTATTGAGTAATTTTTAATAAAAAATTTCTTTTTAATTTGAAAGTTTTTTATGTTTTAATTATTAATTTTTTAGGATTTATTTCATTCTTTTTTTATTTTCATTTTTGCAGCATTTTTTATTATAATTTTTTTATATTAATTTTTTATTTTCTTATATTAAATTACTATATTTTTAGAATTCGATTTTTTTTTTAGATTTCATTTTGTGAGTAATTTTTAGTGCCATTTTTCTTTTTAATTAAAAGCTTTTTTTTACATATATTGTATATTTATTAAATTCTATTTTTATATCTCTTTTATGGAGTAATATTTAATAAAAAAAAATTTCTTTTCGAATTTAAAGTTTTTTTGTTGTATTAATTTTTTTTATTTTTTTTTAATTTTTTTTTTTTTTTGAGAAATTTTTTAGTGCCATCTTTCTTTCTACCTGAAAGTTTTTATTTTATTTTTTTTTATTTATTTAATTATTACGATTTTGTACGATTTATTAAATTCCATTTTTATATCTCTTTTATTGAGTAATTGTTAATAAAAAAATTTCTTTTTAATTTGAAAGTTTTTTTATGTTTAAATTATTAATTTTTTAGGATTTATTTCGTTTTAATTTTAATTTTTGCAGCAATTTTTTAGTATAATTTGTTTAATTTCTAGTTTTAGATTACAAATTTTTAGGATTTACTCAATTTTATTTAATTTAATTTAGTTCAATTTAATTTTTTTAGTTATTTTTTAGTGCCATTTTTCTTTCTAACTGAAACTTTATATTTTATTTATTTTTCTTTTTTTTATTTAATTATTACGATTTTGTACGATTTATTAAATTCCATTATAAAAATCTCTTTTATTGAGTAAGTTTTAATAAAAATTGTTTAATTGTTTAAAGTTTGTTATTTTATTAATTTTTAATTTTTTTGGAGTTGTTTTTTGAATTTTTAATTTTAATTTTTGCAGTAATTTTTTATTATAATTTTTTTGTAGAAATTTTTTATTATAATTTTTTTGTAGAAATTTTTAAATTTCTTATTTTAAATTAAAATTTTTTAGGATTTATTCAATTTAATCTTTTTTAGATTTAATTTTTTGAGTAATTTTTAGTGCCATTTTTCTTTTTAACTTAAAGTTTTTTTTTTATATATATTTAATTCATCATTCATTTGTTACGTTTTATATTATATTTTTAATATTAATTTATTGAGTCATTTAAAAATAAATGTTCTGTTTAACTTTAAAGTTTTTTTATTTTTTGTTACTAATTTTTTAAGATTTATCTAATTTTAAATTTTAAATTTTTTTTATTTTATTTTTTATTTTTTACTTTATTCTATTTCATTTTTTATTTTTTTTATATTTTATTTTTTACTTTATTTTATTTTATTTTTTAATTTTATTTTTAATTTTTTTTTTATTTTTTTATTTTATTTTTTATTTTTTTATTTTATTTTTTTATTTTAATTTTTATTTTTTTTATTTTATTTTTTATTTTTTTATTTTATTTGTTTTTTTTTTGTTGATATAAATCTATTTTAACTTTTTCCATGCGCCTTTTTTTTAGTTTAATCTATTATTTTTTAGTCGTTATTTAATTTTTTTTTTTTTTTTGTTTTTTTTTTGATTACATTTATTGAGTACAATATTTGTTTTTATTGTAGTTTCATTATTTTTATTTTAAACATTTGAATTTTTTAAACATTAATTTGGTAGGGTTTATTGAATTTCAATTTTTTATATCCCTTTATTTTTGGTATAATTTTTTTATATTTTAATCAGAAATTTGTTATTTTCTTGGCTATTAATTTTTCTTTGTGGAGTAATTCCTTAGTATGTTTTTTTTATTTTAAGTTTTTAATTATTAATTTTCTTTATAGAGTAATTTTTTAGTATCACTTTTTTTGCCTTCTTTTAATTTTTTTTAATTATTTTTTTTTTTTTTGCCTTTTTTTTAAATTTTTTTTCTAATTATTATTTTTTTTTTTAATTTAATATTTATTTTAAATTATCAATTTTTTAGGTTTTAAATGATTTGAATTTTTTAGCTTTCGTCTATTGAGCTATTTTTAGTTGTATTTTTTGTGTTTTCCCCCCTTCTTTGCTTGTTAATCCATTTTGTCACCTTAATTTACTGTAAATTAACCTCATCCATTCATCCGCTTGACATTTTTTCAAAATTCCACAAAACGTCATTTATGTTATGTTAGCATTGCATTTTCATTGTGGAAAGCGGAAAATATCGCCGAGTAATTCTCACACAACACAACACGCGGAATCGTACAAATCACAAAGTAAACATGTTTGATCTCATCAATAACAATGCCTGCGGACAGAAAGACACATACACAGCTTGTTGACTTTAGTAAGTTGATGGGGGGAGCCAAAGAAATGTCGTCTGCGCTGCCGCCGTACCGAAATCAAAACAGAAAAAGTCATCACTCGCTGTCACCAGCGCTGCTGCTACTGCTGCTGCTGCTGACGCGTCACCATAATAAGCCTCGCTGCATTGTCTGCCGGTCACACCGGGCGGCTGGCGAGTTTGTTAGTTTGTAATTTTGGTGCCAGTGCTCGATGGCTGTGGGTCCATCGTCTCATTGCTCACTAATTATCAGCTGCAGCAGAGCTCGTATGTGGGAAAGTAGCAACAATTTGGTGATCAAAACAGATTTTTTGCTCGGCAGTTTGTTTGCATGCTAAATTAATACTTAGAAGGAATGAAGTAGGAAAAGAAGATGGAAAAAGAAAAAGTTAGTTTATTTGCGAGTGCGTGTGTGTGCGTGCACATGTGTGTGTGGGTCCTTAACATCGCGTGCTTGTTCGCATATTTTGTAAATTTTCTACACACCGCACGCAGCGCAGCGCAGTCCATGTCACGTTTTTTCTCTAGAAACGGCAAAACAATAACAATAACAAGCAAATAATCAAAGACGATTGTTTTTTTTTTTTTTTATTAGTCACCAGCGCAAACAGGCTGCGCATTTGATGGCAAATCCTGTACGTGTTGTTCACAAGATTTTTCCAATTTTCAGCGAAATGTGTCAACAACGCACATGTGGAGTTTATCGGAGTTAGGCGGCACGGAAAGGAACGGTTAGAAAGGATATACATATGTGATTGTACGCATATGTGTGTCACCTTTTCTGGTGTTGCCTATACCTGTGTTACTACTTGACTCCGGCGGCTCGATCGCCCAAATTGTCGAGTTGATTAGCCGCTGCTTGCATGCATGGCACTTTGTTGGGCTCGCAAAAATTCCTTTGATAACCGCACGTACGCGCGCTACGTACTCTACATACTATATAAATACAGGGTGTGTTCCAGAAAATAAGTAAGATTTTTAAATTTTGCTTGCCTTAGGGAGTAAAAGTGGCAGGGGCATAAAGTAGGACGATCAATTTTTATAAGGAGCCTTTTATTTCATGTCAAAAATACACACGGAGGGCTTGACATTTCCTGTCGAGGGCGAGTAAACTTAGTTTTCTTTCGTTTTGGTTTGGTTGGTCGGACCAGAACCCGAACCCTGCTAACCACTCGGCTATTGTGGCTGTTTTCATTGGTGACTTTGTTGTTTCTACTGTTCTATTGTAACGGCTTGCTCAACCCCGCCTAGTAAAAGGCAAAGTTAGTCTATGTCGAGGTCATTTTTGTTGTTGTTGTAACTGCAAAATTTTTTTCCCCAAAGTAATTTTTGGGGAGTGACAATCCTTGGCCGTATAAAAAATCCGGATCGTTCCGGTATAAAGACCCAACTGTCGCGAGAACTATTGGATTTTAGTCGCCTCTTACGACAGACATGCCTTTTCGCGGATAAATTCTTGAACCTCTAACCCGCAGTTCTTCAACGTGGGTACTAGGACACCGGCTTTTTCGAAGGGTTCGAACCAGCGGGTAGAAGCGGAAAGTTGGATTTAGAGGTGGTTATTACCGTGTGGAGTGTCATTGGTTTTGGACTTTCGACATACTGCTGAATGATCTGTCGAAGATAGCCGACGTCAAAGACAAGAATGTAATGACGTTCATTAGAGAATTGCGAATCGAATGATTGGATGGTCAAGCCGAATGGATCTTATTCAGGTCTAAGTGTAAACCTGTTGTTATTGTTGTTGTTGCAGTAGCCCCAAAAAATATACCCTAAATTGATTTTCGGGAAATATTTCGTAAGTCACAGCTCTTGGCCGGGTAAAAATCCGAGTCGTTCCGGTGTGACCACTTCAATTTAGCGGGAACTAATAGATTTTCCTCCTTTAGAAACTATAAATCGCAGGGGTAGTCACTTTAAACCAACCTAACTTAATGCACCTGCACAAAGTCTATTGATTTTTGGCCAAATATAATATACTGGGGAAGCTCCAGCATTCAAATTCGCCAGGCATGGCTCTGCGTGATTTCTTTTCCAATTTTCAAAAATTAATATAACCTCAAAAGGCCATCGTTTTACAGCCGCTTTGCTGTGAGTACTAAAACTTATGTCAAAAGTTTGGGTTTATGAAGTATTTCGGGGATTGTCGTTCTGCGTCTTAATGTATTCCCAAACAATGGCGGAACTTACAGTTTATACTGAGCCGTCGCCGAACGAGCGATGGATTTTAGGAGGAGTCGGAAATGTATTTGGACGGCTTCACACTCTCTGTCGAGGGGCGATCAAACAAAAACTCGAGCCCCGGCCTACCGAATATTAGTAGACACTGCTAACCACTCAACTACTATGGTCGCCTGCAACAATGATGCTGTTTTAAATTGAAAATTTTTCTTATTTTTTGAGCACACCTCGTATACACGTACTTATATACAACATACTTACATATATATGTATGTATGTGCAGCTAACTCGCTTAGATTTCTGATTTGTCTATTGTCCTTAAGCTAATCCGCTATAGTCGCTCCTAATTCTAATGCTAATTGTACCATATTTATTAATGTGCTCATTTTCCATTCTATTTTGCAGGTATTTAATTTCCATTGTGTTGCTGCGTGTACATACATACAGTCGGACAGACAGACAGACAGACTAGCATTCGAAGTGCATTCAATCTGTCGCTCGTCCCACAGTAGCGAGCGTGTGAGCGTTCAGACAGACCACCAGCAGCCGCCAGACAGCCAGCCACCAGCCACCAGTCACAGGGCAACCAGGCTTGCTTGTCTGCTGCTTTGCCATTCCGTTTGGTTTGCTTGTTGTGTGCGAACGCGTATAAAATTTTTTAGCGCTGCTCTGATGTTTATTTGATGTTAACCGGAAGAAATGTGTCAATTCACGTACAAAAACAATAGCTGCATTGAACAGCAACAGTGCCGGCAAAACGTTTAAGGCCCAACGCCGCAAATAAGTTTCAAAAAAAAAAAAAATAAAAAAAAAAATAATCACCAGAGAAAAAAGTGCTGGAAGTTTAAGCGTAACAATTAACTAAAATACATATTACGGTCTTGGAACAGCAAGTAATATATAATCAAACATACCTACGCGTGTGTATGTGTGTGCTAGAAATTGTTAGTTAGCAATTAAAGGCCTCTACAAACGACACCGACTAGAAGCGACGCATATAAAACATACATAAATACATACATACATACAAAGGAATAATAATAATTATGATTATTACAATGCAAAAATTGCAGCCGAAACAACAACAGACAACTAAAAGCGTGTTCGCCATTAAAACATTAATTAGCTGTAGCACGTTATGCCTACTGCTGCTAGTAATAGTGCTGCCGCCCGTTGCCGTGCACGCTTGGATGCCCGATGTGCGCCCAGATTTGCAACCGAGTAAGTGCTTGTGTATATGGGTGTGTGTGTGTGTGCTAGTGAAGTTGATTAACATTTCCGTTCTTTAAACTCAATTTTAAGTAAACTATTATATATATATATATATATATATATATATATATATATATATATATATATATATATATATTTCGTGTCTATAATTTGCATTTTACACATTTTCTTTCTTTTCTTTTTACAGAGCAAGATAAAATCATTGCCAAGTTCCTGGGCAATAGCACGGATTATTTGAAAATTCTGGCCTATGACGATGCCACCATACTGGTTGGCGCTAAGTAAGTATTCAAGCCACACGCTAGACTTTTTCACCACAATATTTACATACATACAGATTTTGTCTATAACAATTACTTACAAACTGTTTTTTTTTTTTGCTTTCTTTTCGACTTCACCTCATTCGCACCCAATTTACCGTCAACCAACCAACCAACCAATTGCACACACACACAGAGACGTTATGTACAACATCAGCTTGGATGGTTTACGTGAAATCAGCCGCCTGGAATGGTTCTCATCAGATGCTGATCGCGAATTGTGCGCACTGAAGGGTAAACATGAAACCGATTGCCACAATTACATACGGGTTTTTGCACGCCTCGATGATGCGCAAATCCTATTGTGTGGCACCAATTCATATAAGCCGCGTTGTCGCCATTACACCCCGGCGACAAGTGAACTAAGCGCTGCTACTGGTTCTGGTCAACAGCGTTATGAGATTGCGCGCGATGTGGAGGCGCAAGGTCTTTGCCCATATAGTCCGGCTCATAATAGTACCTACGCCTTTGCGGAGGGTCAACTGTATAGCGCTACTGTTGCCGATTTTTCCGGCAGTGATCCGTTGATATATCGCGAGAATTTGCGTACGGAGCAATACGACTTGAAACAGTTAAATCAGCCAGATTTCGTGGGCGCTGTGGAGCGTGATGGTTATGTAATGTTCTTCTTTCGCGAAATCTCAATGGAGTTCATGAATTTCGGCAAGGTGAGTGTGTCTTGGGGAGTGGGTATATTGTTGTTTAAAGGTTAATGACTGCTGCAATGCCGTTATTAAGTAATAATATTTGGTGGAAGTTTTTAATATGTTAATTAAAATAGATAACGGAAACATGTTACATATATATACATATGTACCTCCTATTTAATCGTTGAAACTATTTTTTTTTATTTTGGTTAATATTAATATTATTATTTTTAAATTGTTGTTTTTGTTGTTGTTGTCATTATTATTAGAACTAATATTTCTTTTATCATTTTTATTATAATCATTATTATTATTTTTAATAATATTAATACTATTTCTACTATTATTATTATATTTAATATTATTATTATTATTATTGCAACTTCTAATATTATTTTTAATATTATTGTTATTAATTTTATCAATGCTATTTCTATATCTGTTATTTTTTTATTATTTTTATAATAATTAATATTATTTTATTTCTAATATAATATTATAATTTTATTATTACAATTTCTATTATTATTATTATTATTATTATTATTATTATTATTATTATTATTATTATAATTATTATTATTATTATTATAATTATTATTATTATTATTATTATTATTATTATTATTATTATTATAATTATTATTATTATTATTATAATTATTATTATTATTATTATTATTATTNTATCTACTATTATTATTATTATTTTTAAATATTATTGTTATTATTATTATTATTTTTTTTGTTATTATTATTATTATTTTTTTTGTTATTATTATTATTATTACAATTTCTACTATTAATTAATAATTAATTTTAATTTTAATACTATTATTATTATTATTGTTATTATTATTATTATTAATTATTATTATTATTAATTATTATTATTATTATTATTATTATTATTATTATTACTATTACTATTATTAGTGTTGTTACTTTTATATATCTTTTTTGTCACTGTTTTACTTAAAATTTTCACTTCAATCATTATTACTCCATTCCAGACAATTTACTCGCGTGTGGCACGCGTTTGTAAGAACGATCGCGGCGGCCCCTACACACTATCCAAAAGTTGGACATCATTTTTGAAAGCTCGTCTAAATTGCTCAGTGCCTGGTGAATTTCCATTTTATTTTGATGAAATACGTGAGTTTTATAAGATCAACAAACCTTTAACCCTTAGAAGTTTACTAAATTTTCAAAACTTTCCTTTATCCACCCACAGAGGCCATCACACCGATTGTCGAAAGCGGTCCGAATTCTCTCATCTATGCCGTTTTCACCACATCCGTTAATGCCATACCCGGTTCGGCTGTTTGCGCTTTCAATGTGAACGACATAATGGACGCTTTTGAGGGCAGTTTCAAATCACAAAAAGATAGTCAATCACAGTGGCTACCCATACAGGATGAACAGGTGCCCGAACCGCGTCCGGGCAAATGTGTTGAGGACTCACGTATGCTATCTAGCATTGCGGTAAATTTTGCCAAGAATCATCCATTAATGGAGACTGCTGTACCCTCAGTTTACGGCCGTCCGCTACTCACCAAAGTCAATTTACATCATCGACTCACTACAATCGCTATTGATGCACAAATTATGGCGCTGAATGGCGAATACTATGATGTCATCTATTCCGGCACAGATGATGGTCGGATAACGAAATTTTTCAATATACCAACACCCAGCCAAGCCGCCGCCGGTGCCGGTGTGGACAAATTAAAGACTGTTTTAATATCCGAAATGCAAGTATTACCGCCGGGCGTGGCTGTGCGTGAGCTTGTTGCATCAGCGAAAAACAACCGTCTGTTGGTGGTTAGTGATGGCAGTCTCATCACAGTGCCATTACATCACTGTGCACACATAGTTGACTGTTTGGGTTGCCTGAGTTTACAGGACCCGAATTGCGCTTGGGATCAACAGAATCATGAGTGTAAAAGTCTCACGGCTAATAATTTGAAATTCGGCACAAAAGCATTCCTACAAAGTCTTAATACCACAAAGAAAGCTGCTGCTGCACTATGTCCGAAATATACACGCGGCACACTAATGGCTGATGGTCCAAATGTTGGTGGTGGTATTGTTGCTAGTGCCGGCATTGATTTGGTTACGGCGCAACAACCGCAAGCCGATGAGGATGTGAGCATCAAGAAGTTCCACTACACAAAAGTCAGTGCCAGCAGTAGTGGTGTACCTGGTGTGAGTACGGCGGCTTCGGAGAGTAGCGTTTCTGTGGCGGCGGTGCCAAGCGGCAGCGGTGGCGATTTGGATGCTAGTACAGGCGCTGGCAATGATTATTTGCTTAACAGCTTTAGTGATGAAAATAAAATTACGCTGCATTCAGTGGATCCCGATGAGCTGATGAACTCGCTAAGTCGTAAGTTGGAGATGTTTAGTATGAAAGTTTGGAATATTTTAATATTTGTTTTGCGTTTCCACCTTCCTTTTTTTATATTTTAAAGTAGGCGAAATTTAATTTTAAAACTTTATATATATTTTTTTTATTTTAATTTACTTCATTTTTAATTTTTTTAATTTTTTTTTTCTTAAAAATATATATAACTGAAGTAAATTAAAATAAAAAGAAATATATATAAAGTTTTAAAATTAATAAATAAAAAAAATACGTCTTAAATACTTGCCTACTTTAAAACATAAAAAAGAAATGTGGAAACGCAAAACAAATTATTCTGTTTTTTTTTACATTTTTATTTTTTTAATGAATTTTTATTTCTTTTATTTTCTATTTATTTTTTTTTTTTGCTTTTTGAAGACAATAACACCAATGGTATTCGGTCAAACGTTACCGTTACCGTTACTAAATTTTACATACATTTTATTAACAATTTTTTTTAATTTTTTTGAAAATTTTATTTTGGTTTTATTTAATTTGTTATTTAAATGTGTTTTTATTTTCTGTTAAATCATTTTTTAATTCAATTTTTTTAACTTAATTTTTTTTTTATAATATTTCATATTGATTTATTTGCTCTTTTTATTTACATACCTCATGCCTTGCCGTGTTTTTTGCCTTTTCGGTTAGCTTTTTTACTTATATATGTTTTTAATTTAAATTGGTTTAATTTTATTTTATTTTTTATTTTATTTGTTTCTTAATTAAATGATTTTTTAAATTTTCTTTTAATTTCTGTGTATTTATTTTCTTTTAAATCCATTTTTTTTAATTTAAATTTCTTTTAATTTTATATTATTTTTAATTTATTTATTTGCTCTTTTTTTACATACCATGCCGTGTTGTTTGCCCTTTAGGTTTGATTTAAATTCATTTTATTTTATTTTTTAGTAAAATGATTTTTATTTAATCAGTTTTATTTATTCAATTTTTTATTTTAATTTTCTTTGAATTTATTTATTTTTTTCCTTTAAACTATTTTTTTATTTAAACTATTTTTAAAACATTTCTTTATTTTAATTTTCTTTTAAATCATTTTTATTAATATTCCCTTCTTTGCTTCCGTTATTCTAATTGATCTCGATTTTTTTACCAATTTCCAGATCCCCAGCACGCACAACCTGACATCAACGACAAGCAACTAAAGGTCGCCGGCAAGAGTTTGTGTTGGTCACTCTCTTTAATCGCTTTCCTTATTGGCATAATCGTAGGCTATTATACATCGAAACGTATGTGTAAGGCAACATCACTACATGCAAATCATCGCAATCAATTCACTTCGAACTCGTAAGTTGTTTTGCTTAGAAATTGTTTTGAATTCAAAAGTTTAAATAAATTTCTCTCTTTCATTTTCTTCTTCTCACCACTTAGACAATTCGCCGTAAAGCATCATAATACCGGCAAAGATATTAATCTACTAATGAATCCGAACCAATTTTGTAATCAGAAAAAGCCCAATCTCGATTTAGAGAAAGATCGTAGTCATGAATGTAAGAATTCTACAGAGAATCTTGAAAAGGAAATACCCTGCAAGACGTCCACGTTAACGAAGGTTAAACGCACATATATATAATCTCTAGCTTATTGGCAGTGCATTGCAAAGCATTGTGTTGCATTTAAACAAAACAAAAAAAAACTAGTGGAATTTTTTTAGGTTATTTTATATTTAATTTTTTTTCTGGTGTAAAAGAAATGTGTTTTTTTTTTTGCGAGAATTTGCATGCATGCTAGTGTGTACGTGTGCGTGTGTGTGGTTGAGCATGTGTGAGGTCTGACTGTTGCTATTAGTTTAGGTGAAATTAAAAAATTTACGAAAGAGGTTTTTCTGCATTACAGGTATATACATACATATGTAAACTTTAACCGTCTAAATAAGCAGGCATGTAAAGCTAAGTGCTTAAGCGGGCTATGGTGCGCGCATAAAATTAAAAAAAAAAAAGCTTAACGAACTCAATTCGTTTTTAATGAAATTGCGTGATTTTCCTTTTGCTTTTCTTTTGTAAGCAGCAGCTGTGACGCGTTATTCTTAAAGCGTTACATTTGCTGCATGACGCATACGCGCCCGCCCGCTGTACGCATAGCTAATGTCAATGCGAGTCTTAATTTTTATTATAATATATATATATATAAATATTTGTATTTTTTATTTTTAGTCGCTTAGTTTAGTTTAAGTTTAGTTAATTAATGTGAGTTTATCGCGCGCGTTGAGTGGAGATTTAATATAAATTTCTACAAGCACATTACATACATATGTATGTATAATAACAATTAAGTACAAATATAAATGCTTGGCAGCCGTTTGAGGGTATATTGTTATGTGTGCATGTGTGCTTTCGGTGTTCGGTGAAAAGTAGCCACAGCGCTTCAAGTGATTAATTACCAAGTGAAGCTTGTGTGGTTACAAAGCTTTTCTTTCTAAGAAAAGGAAACCATTTCCCATGGCAACTTTTTTTTTTGTTTGCCCACTAAATATAATTTACTAAAACCGCAACACATGCACTGTGTATACCTTCTTGTCTCTGCCCTCTACTACTCTGCCTATGTACAAACATATCGAATATCTTTACAATTTACGAGTATACTACACCGTTAAGTGATTGAAATTGTTTTGCTTGTTTTTTTTTTTAACAAAAACAAAATGCATGTAAATCAAGGCTATGCAGAAGGGTTTGGTGTTTGGTATGGTTAAAGCAATTTGAGGTCAACTTCTCAACTTCTTTTTTTTTTTTTTGGCTACGAAGTTGAAGTTGAGTGTCAACTCAAACAAACTGAGGAAACACTGCAGTCAGAAATACCGATTGCTGTAATACATACAGACAAGCAAGAGTACGAAACGCACAAACTATGTACAATTGCGGTAAAAGTAATAGCAATAATAACATTTAATAACAGTAAATAATAATAATTGCATAAGGCAAACAAGTATTAATATAATTAGACTGAATGCGAACAAAACAAAACAAAAAAAGCAATATGACAATGTCAAATAATTTTCTAAATTTATAGCGAGTAAACCATTTGTATGAGTGGTTGTGTGTGGGTGCTGTTGTGACTAAATGGCAAGTAGTACGCGTATAATTGTAAACCATTGTCTGCTTAGATTGCGGTTTTTTTTTTTATTTTTTAATTTTGTTTTTCTATTTTTCTGCAAAGCCAGTAGCTGCTATATGTGCGTCACTACTACTTCTTTATTTTATCTTCCAACATAAACATGCACTTTGATCATCTTCAACTTTGATAACTGTCGCGGCGCACACACACCCACTCACAACTGGCGCACATTTTTTTCTTTTGTTCGTGTGACATTCATGCATGTCGGCAAAAACATCTTTTATTCGCAACATTTTTCTACTCGCCTACCAACTAACCGTCATTGTACTTTAACACTTTCACTGCAATGCTTTTTTTTGCATATTTCATTTTTAATTTTATTTTATTTTTTTTGCTATCTCCATCTCTACATACATTCCCAATTGTGGGTCTTGCGTCTGTTGTCTGTCCATTTGTGTCAAACACAAACAACACACTTGAGACAATTGTATTATTCTACTATTTGTTGAATGCCTAATAATGTGTGTGGAAGGTCAGTACACCGCAGGAAAATGCAATAAGTACGCTTTATAACAATTTTGATGCGTAGAATGGAAAGTGTAATAGTGAAAGTAATTTCTTTTTCGAAATTATTGTTTGTATATTTTTTTTTTACATTAAAACTAGTAGAGAATCTAAATTAAAAGCGAAATTTTTCGACAAAATAGCGGTATTATGTAACGGTTTATTGAAAATATAAATATTTTTCTGCCTAAAAGCGAATTCAATTGTTTTTGCTTCATTTGCTGAGTTCAAATTGATACAGAAATATAAAAAATAAATTTTAAATGGTGTAATTTAAATTTGAATACCAAAATTTTGGTGTCAAAATTTTGTTCTCATTGTTAAAAATTTTAAATTTTTAGTTACATAAAGCAAATTGCTATACTTTCACTTCTACCGAAAATCAAAATCAACTTTTTACGATATTTTAAACTCTATTACTAAGTTAATTCGGCTAATTTCAATTTTTCCAAACCAGTATTTGCAGCTTTTTTGTAAAGTCTCTGCACTTTTTTGTAACAGCCAAACTTTTTTAGACTTTATTTAATACAAAATTAAACTCAAATCCAATTTTCCTGCCGTGTACGATCTTTTCATCTCTAAAATTTTTACACATATATCATTTTTTACTAGAACACCGCTCGCTCCACATTCATTGGATACATCATAGTTTGCATAGTTTTCTCAAGTAACTCGAACAATTTTCAAAACAAAACTCATATATTAACTAATAAATCGCTAATCAACTAAAACTAAACAAATAGCCATAAAAAAGAAATTAATTAATAACATACAAAACCGTGAAAGAAGCTCAATTAGTTAGGTATTGAATTGGTAAACATATGTATTATGTAAGTTAATAAAGAAAAAAATTGCAATAAACAGGGTATGTAGTTTGGAAAACGCTAGAAATTCAGTAACAAAATTTTGTATAAAATAAATATATAGTTATATATGTATATTATGGAGAAAAGTGCATAATTATATTTGGAAAATTGTTGCCTTTCAAAATTATTGTCAGTTGATATTTATAGATATTTGAGACTAAATTTATTGAAATAAAAATTTGCCATAAACAAATTCATCACAACAAAGTTATAAAAAAAAAATATATATGTATTTACAAAACACCCTGTTTAAACCATTTACACACATATGTATATATATACAAATTTAAAAGGATTTTAAATTAAATAGCCTTACAAATTACAAATATTTAACAATTATTATTCATATACATATATATATAGTATACCCGAAAATATATTTTTCTTACACAGGCGTACTAGTTATTAAGTTAGTCCGTCCGTATAAGGCATATTTTCTAGTAATAAATAAGCATAATGATTATTTACAATAAACTTACATATATTTTATACAACTATACATAAATGTAGCTAGTAAGTTAGTTTATAAGCGATAAAGTAAATGTGTGAGCTTATTAAGATTACATACATACAAACATAACATATTATATGTATATGATGATTTTTATATGATGAATTGCGTAAAATATATGTATTGTATGTAAAAATTTTTGTTTCCGATAGCATAATTATTTTAATGATAATTTTTAATATTTTATACAACAAACACGCACATACTCGTACGTACATATATAAGTTTACCTTTAATTAAGCGTACATAAGAATCCACGCGTGAATTTATAATGTTTTATACGAGTATACATATAATATATAACAAAAAAAAAAAACTAGCTTTTAGCGTATCACCTTTTAAGAAAACAAAAGAAAAAAAAGTTGTGATAGATTTTTAAAAAGAAAAATTGTTTTTGCAACATGCAAATTGTATGCAATCGATTTTACGATTTTATACTGGTTTTGTCAAAAAAAAATGATAAAAGGAAAAAACTCGAGCACACAGAATCGTTAGGGTCTTCCTAATGTATTTGTTATACTCATTGAAGCCAATCAACTAAGCGTTAAACGATTTCGATTTGCTCGTTGTAAATGAAATTTTATTTTTCATATTGTTTTTAATTTGAATAAATAAAGTGCTTTTTTTTTGAATAAAAAGAAAATATTTATTTGTTTTATTAATGGCAAACTGCAGTAAATTTATGTAGCAACATTACTTTTATTTTAAAGTATATAAATTTAATTAAACAGAATTAAACACATAAAATATTGCAAAAGATGAAACAAAAAAGTTATGAAAGCATTGCAAATATTAGAATTTCTTTGCAATGCATGATCTATATAACATCACGTGATGCTATGGAAACGATGTGATACAATATCATATGATGTCTTATCATAAGCAATTTCTGCCTTAAAAGTTCTTTAATTATTATTACGAAGTAGAAAAACGTTTCACCAGCAACAAATTACAATATTGTAAAACACAGCATTTTTAAACTCGTTTGCGAGTTCATTAAACGACTTCAGCGACATCGCATGATATCTTCGACACGATATGACATTGATTAATGCGATTCTACTTTGAAAAAAGCTTTTACAAATGCAAACAGCTGATTAGCTGTCACCTGCTGTCAAAAAAGCTTTGCACAGCGCGTTGTTTGTATGCAGAATCCGAAGAAGAAGAAGCAGTAATAAATTTTTTGAAAACAAAAGTACAAACCACAGCGACTTTTTAGTGTTAAATAAACTATGGAAAACTCAAACAAGTTACAAATTATATATCCCGATGATGAGAACAATTCGCCACATCCACATTGTCCACATGGACCAACACTTTTGTTTCAAACACCTAACAACGTAAATAATGAAACCACAGGCTCTTATTATGCTTGTGCCGCGCACCGTGATAAACGTTTGTGCAACTTTCATTTATCTGCTGAAGATTTGACACCACAGAAAGTAGCAAAACGTTATGAGCTAGATCAATTCACAAATGTATATAAAGAGCAAAGACAAAAGGTACGTTATAAAGACTTTTAAATAAAATATATAAAAATATTGCTATTATATATAATCATCATCGTTAGTTTTTAGCAAAAAAGAACACTGTTGGTCGTCACTTTTGCCTGGGCTGCAATGTGCCACTGTTACGCGATGAGCACTTGGCACATGCTGGTCATGAGATAGTTTGGAATTTAACCGATAAATTTCTAAATGATCCAACGCGTTTCTTATATCCGCTTGAGGACGACAAGGTACAGGCGCAATACTTTTTCGATGATAAAGCATTAAAATTCTTTGGAAAGTGTTTTGTGGATTTGGGCGTGAAGTAAGTATTTTTTTTTTTTGTAATAAATATTCTTGGTTTTATGTAATCCTAAATGCTTATGTAACAGTAAAGTAATCTGCATGGGCGCGCCGCGTTTGCATGCCTATCTGCGGAATGAACATCCTGAAATTCGGAGCTTCCTACTGGATTTTGATCATCGTATGTACTTTTTCTATCATGACTATGATTATGCATGGTATAACATGTGCAATAACCACTTTTTCGACCAGGCGCAGCATTTGCAGTTCGAAAAGTTTTTAAAGTGTGAGCCGTAAGTATCTAGGAAGCGAGCATTTCAAATTTATTTATTTATTTATTTTGTTGTTTGTTCTCAGCAATGATAAACTGCTAATATTTACGGATCCGCCTTTTGGTTGTCGCACTGAGCCTATAGCGGGTACCTTACGACAGCTCACACGCGAATATAATAAAATAAACAAACTTCCTCATACACCGTTGCCCATATTTTGGATATTTCCATACTTTTCCGAGCATTATATACAACAAGAAATGCCGCAAATGCACATGTGTGACTACAAGGTGAATTATACCAATCACAAAGAATACACAGATGTAGGTGATAAAAGTCGAAAACTTGGTTCGCCGGTGCGTGTCTTTACCAATATACCATTGGAAGTGTTGCACTTGCCCGTTGAAGAGGCATATAAATACTGTGTTCAATGTGAGCGTTACACTGCGTTGGAGAATCGTCATTGCAATAAATGTGGAAAGTGTCCGTCGAAGAATGGCAGCACTTATCGTCATTGTGAGCTGTGTGGTTGTTGCGTTAAACCCAACTATGTGCATTGCAAAAATTGTAGACGTTGTACACAAGCGGAAGAGCATAATTGTGAGATGTATCAAGCAAATCAGCGTTGTTGGATTTGTCAAGAGAAAGGGCATACAGAAATGAACTGCGAGGAATGGCTCAACTATTGTGGAGCTTCAAGATTGGTGTATGGACAGAATGATAAGGTCATAACATGTTTAATATGTAGAAAGAAAGGACATAACGAACGAAATTGCAAACAGCGCAGTAAATATCTGGAAGAGGTAACATTTATGGGTGTAACGGATTTAAAATTGAAGTAAATTTAACCACTCAGTTATTTAAGAAAGTCGCTTATTTAATTTTAACAAAGAAAAACTACTTTATTTAATACTTATGCTTAAATTTTTATGTGTACAATACAATAACGCTAGTTTTTTAACAGTTATACTTGAAATCTATGTTCTTTTTTAGCTAATAAAAGTAACTAAGCTGTGTGCAGCTGTTATATCGAATAACGAAAAGTTGTCTTTTTTTGGTTTACAACTACTGTGAACATTATTATAATATACGTAAGCACATAATTACTGGTTTAGATGTTTTATGAAACAGAATTGTCACGTTTGTATGTTCCTTTGCTCGCAGGAGGCTTCTCGTAACCAGCCAAACAGGTTGGTATACCTGCGGTAGCTGACGTGCTATCAGTGGTGTTGGAAAGATCACTATTTAATATGGGTCAACTCTTTGTGTGATCTGGTTTTTCTTGTTGCTGCTGCTCATGGTTTTGTTCACCGGTAGTGATTTCCGATTCAATTTCGCGAAGTTCTATTTTCTGCTCACGCATAGCGCGCTGTAAAAAGCGAAATTTATTTTATTTATTATTTTTTTTTTCATATTAATTAAGAAAATCACTGACCTTTACACAATCTTGATAAACCTTAAAAATTGGCGCACACAGAGAATCATCATGACGACCCTTGAGAAAATGTTCGGAAAACCAAGAGTTGAAGCAAGCATCATATTGTTTTTTTAATTCCGTACAATCATCACCCAAACTATTCATGACAAGAATTTTTTTACTTATAACTGGATTCTTAAAATCGACCAAATATCTTGAAATTACAAACGATATAGATTATTTATTGAACCATGCAATAAAAGTACACGAGTAAAGTTCCGTCAGATATAATCCAATAGGATTATTGCAATCAGCTGTTTGGTGTTAAAAAAGGGTTGCCAAAATTTTTTCGTCGGCCATCAGCTCTAAACATGATTTGGGTATTTCATTTATAGTAGCGTGTTTTCTCCAAGCAATTTGCGGCTATTACAAGCGTCGATCAAATAAAAATTCGAGACTCTTAAGAGTGAAGATGATGAATGATGTATTTTGAACGCCTCTCACAACATGTGTTCTTTGGCTACCGGGATTATGGGCATTCCTTTATGTTATGAGAGAGAATGGACACATTTCAAAAAGGCTGGCAACAGCATCATTGTCGGCGAACATGCGCTAAACAAAACAAAGTTGACATTTGCCAATTGGAAAATCGTGTGAGGTTAATTTGACTGCTGCAGTTGCATTGTGTGCTGAAAATTTAATTTTTTCAAATATTTAAAAAATGAGCAATTTAACAAAGTCCGTTTTACGTTTTGGCAGTAGCTTAATTTCTGCAAATTCGTCGAATGCATTGAAAAATGTTTTTGGTAAACGTGATTTCACACGCACGCTCTGGCACATGAGCAAAAATCCAGAAGCTTCTGGTTCAACCGCTAATGTCCTAAATGTGCACAAACCTAGTTTGGGTTGTAGCTGCGGTTGTGGCGGAGCCAAGCATATGCACACTAAAGGTAAGTATTTGTTATAGTACCATTTAAGCCAACTCTACCGGCTGATTTGTAATGCATTACATAACCTAGAAAAACGTGATGAAATCATTGCGCTATGATTATGAATTAAAATATTTATATTTTTATTTAATATTAAAGGTGAACGTGAATTGGTGGAATTTCTTACTGAAGAAATTTTGTCTGAACGCAAAGCACAAAAAATCAAGACCATACCAACTACTTTGGATGGATTCAGTGTCAAATTGAACGGTGCCGATGTTGAATTAACCAAGCAGTCTGATAAGGAGAAGTAAGTGATAAACAACATTTTTAATACAGAAATTTAAAACATTTTTAATTTATATTTATTTCAGAATTGTCATCAGCTTCAATGTTAATCACACTGTGGATACTGAAGAGGAGCCCGAATTGGATCCTAACGCAGAAAAGGCTGAAATTGGTGAGATGCGCAGCAAACCACGTTTTGAAGTAGACGTCATTAAGGGCACAACCACACTTTCATTCACATGCTCGTTCTTGGAAGGTACACCACAGGAGGGTGAATACAGTGAGTACACTTAAATTACATAATGCTGTTGTGTGCACTAACTACATAATTTCCTCTTGTACTTGTGCAGATGACATCTTTGGCATTGATGAAATGTGCATTTATCAAGGTGAATGGAACGATAAAGTTTATGCTGTCGCTGGCGATGTACTTGATGGTGTAAGTAAAGTAAAATGTCATAATATTTTCTCGAAATTAATTCCATATTTTCCCCTTACAGTACCTGTATGACTTGCTAATGAATCTCTTGGAAGAGAAGGGTGTTAGCAATGAATTTGTTGAAAAACTCTCAGATTTAGCTACCGCATTTGAACATACTTCATACATTGGTCTATTGGAGAGTCTTTCGAAGTTTACCACCGGCAAGTAATTGCCCCACGCCCAATATGCTGCAAAGCGTTTTATTCTTACCAACTTTTACAACAAATCTAATTTACGTTTAAAGTTTAATAATTAAGAGAACATGGAGTGCAAATCGAAATAGCAAACCATATTTTATTTCCCGGAAACTGGGTTTTCGTACTGTTATATAAGTGTTATCGGAACAATGTGAAGATGTTGTATGATTGCCAATTTTCCTTACTGGCATGATACGCTTAATACATAAATTGAGTATTGTTGAATTGTTTTCTTTTAAATTTTTACCAGAACATAACATAAAGAAAAATTGTAAAGGTAAATTCATGGATGTAGCATTGAATATTGAAAATGATTTGAACTGCCAGTTTTTCCTATGTTTCGATAGTATGTCTACATTTGTTATGGAATAAATTACACAAATAAATGTAAATAATTTTAAGGTAAAATAAAATCATAAATAACATTAACTTTTTTTGGATTGAATTGAATGAAGCTTCAGCATATACTTATTGCTGTAGAAATTTCGAAAAGTTTTTCTACGTATTTAGAACATTAAAAATTCATTCAGGATAATGGACTTGGTGAAAGCCTTTAGTACTACTATCGAACATTGTAGACTAACTCGAAAGCAAACGGCTACCTCGCTGATCTCTCCCACTTCTTCACTGCAAGACAACTACGAATTCAACCGACAAAATCCTCGGCTACCCTCTTCAACAGCTGGACGAAGGAATACAGGCTTGAACTAGATGTGAAGGTTGATGACACAAAAATTCCGACGGTAAATAACCCAAAAATATTGGGAGTAACCCTAGACAGCCTGCACTCCTTCACTCCGCATACGACCGCAATTGTCGCAAGACCTGGGGTAAAGACAAAGAAACTTTGATGACTACTTACAAAGGAATTGGCCGGCCGGTCGTAAACTATGCTGCACCGATCTGGACGCCGGGGACGAACGAGACGCAGATGAAGAAGCTACAGGCTTGCCAGAACACCACCCTCAGGACCGCGACAGGAAACCTTCTGATGTCGCCGGAGCATCACTTGCACAGGGAAGCATCTATGCTACGAGTTGAGGAGCATAATGCCTTGCTATTGGGATGCTACCGCAGGGAGCACCCCAGTAGGCACCATCTAGGCACATCAGAACGGGAGTACTAGACTTAGAGAACACAATCCAGCAACAAATACAACAACCGCTGGACAGGACGGCGTACTGACAAGCACTGAACGCCATTCACTAGGAGTCACAGCATAAACTTTATCTAGGACTCCCTTCCAGTGAATGGCGTACTCGGAGAAATACCACCATCCATAGCAGACAACGAGCTCGAGCTGCCTCGAGAGACCCTGACACAACTTAGGTCTGGATATTGTAGCAGGTTAAACTCCTACCTATCCAGACTAGACCCCAGCATACCCAACGTATGACCTACATGTGGAGAGTCTCCTCACGACACTAACCACCTCTTCACATGCCCCCTCAAACCCACTCATCTAACCCCCCTCTCCTTTTGGTCCAACCCCGTCGAAACAGCTCGTTTCCTGGATCTACCACTGGATGACCTCGGCGACTTAGACTGATCAAATCTGTACCTAAGCGGGGTTAGCGAACCGCTACAACAACAACAACAACAACAACAACATTGTAGCCTACTCATTACCTTGAGGGGAAAAATAATACCATGAATACCCTACTTGCAGGTTGGAAATCCGAAAATCTTCTTGAATCTTCTTGGGGGACTCAGGTTTAGACAAAGATATATTGTTGGCAACTTACAAGACTGAGTGTTGCTGTCGTTGTTGTTGCAGCTTATTCAATGCTGCTTAGGAGCAGGCTGGATTATTCATCGAGGTCATCTAATGGGAGGTAAATGAAACCAGCTAATTCGAGAGGTTCGATGAGGTCGGTTTTTAGTGAACATGTTATGAGGTAGCTGGGGCTGTAGTTGTTGTTCGAGCGGCTTTCCAACCCCCCCGAGCAGGCGAAATTAGTCATCGAGGTCATATAACGGGAGGTCCAGGAAACGGGTTGTTTCGGCGGGTTCGGACCAGAGGGAACGGGGGTTAGATCCGAAGGTTTTATGGGGGCATGAAAAGAGTTGGTTAGTTTCTTACGAGGTCTTAAGTATGCAGGACATACGTTGGGTACGTCAGGGTCAAATCTTGAAAAGTAGGATTTAAGTCGATACAAGTCGATCACTGGTAAGGGTTTAAGAAGTAGTTTACGGATTTCTGTGAGATGTCGTTTACAGCCTGCCGATACACCGTCCTGTGTGAGTTGGAATTGGTTTTCGGGGAATATTGCAGGAGTGGCAGTCTTTGGCCGGATAAAAATCCGGGTCGTTCCGGTATTAAGACCCGCCTGCCGCGGCAACTTTTGGATTTTAGTTAACTCTTGCCTGATCACGGGTAAATTATTGAGCCTTTAACCCGCGCGGAGATAGTGCCCAGCGGTGCTTTTACCGTGGTTCTAAAAGGAGTCCTTTTAGTCGAGTATGTGATGTATCGTCTTCAAGTAAATGTCGCTTGGCATGTAGGCAGCGGCCGGCTAACACTTCCAGGATTTTGTTGCGGCTCTTTGTATCGATCGACGGGTCATTCAATCTGCTGGTCATCAAATACGCCGAACTTTCACTATAACAGATGTGAAGCAAAATCCTGCTTCAATCAGAAACGTTCTCATGCACGTCATACCCAATATCTAATATGCTGCTGAATAGCGCTATTGTAAACCGACCATCATCCATTGTGGGCGACGAGATCTAGCTATATCATCAGCCTAGTAATCCTGAAGCAAATACGGTCTGCATTACTCATGTTAGCATCATGTTACATATCCAGGCACTACCCCGACATACCCATTGTATGTGCAGTCCTCAAAGCATACTAAAACCTGAAACCGATTCATCTGACACCTCTCTATAAGCTCGCATTTTTGGCATTGATAACATAAAATATCGCTGACGACGGAACCATAACCTGTGCAAGTTATGGAGCGAATTAGCGGCACGCTGGAGATAACATGGCCACAACGCCTACGCGGTGTCTATATCAGCAAAGGAAAAAAAAGAAGAAAGATTTACTGGCTAGATCATGTTGTCATCATGTCATCATGTCGTCCGAAGAAAGGAGAAAACACCAGCTTTGATGGAGATGCAATATTTTGAGTACTCCCAATGAATATTCCTTCTGCCCTTTTATCCTTACGCGAGACGAAGTAGGTGGTTTGCATCTTGCAGAAGGATTTTCCGCTCGGTCGCATTGTACGTTTAGTCCAAGTTCTGTCATAATTTTCTGTAAGCTCTCATATCCTTCATAGTTAAAGGACAGGAGGCAATCGCCTCAGATTTTTTTGTCAGCTACCTATAGGCGCAGCTTCGTACGCCTCTATATTAATCAGGCATAACTTCTAGAGCCTTAGCTAAACTACTACTGTTGTTGTTGTTATAGCGGTTCACTTGCCCCGTATAGGTACAGGTTTAATCAAGCTAAGTCGCCGAGGTCATCTAGTGGGACGTCCAGGAAACGTGCTGTTTCGACAGGACTGGACCAGAGGTAGAGAAGGGTTAGATGAGTCGGTTTAAGGGGTTATGTGAAGTGGTGGTTAGTGTCGTGCGGACACTCTCCAAGACAGCCGGTTATACGCACCGGAGTTGCTCCGGATTTTATCCGGCCAAGGGCTGTCACCCTTTCGGCGATCTAAGCCCGTTTCGGTGGATTTATTTATTTTATAGGTCAACAGGTAACGTTAATTTAAGTCCGCTAAACTACTACTCATACATAGATGGTATGTTGCATCTATGTCCGAGCGAATTAAAGCGGCACTTCTTCTGAATCTTTTTGAAGCCGGAAAAATATTCTCCAAAGTAGGGGTTTTAGAATGTGCGGGAGTGTAAGCTCTTGGCCGGCATAAATACACGACTCTTGTGTGAATTTATATATTTTATGCGACTCTTACCACAGGTATGCCTTATCGCGGAGATATTCTTAATACACTGCCCCGCATAGTTATCACCGCTCCATCTATTAGCAGTAAATGGGAAGATATAAACTCGGCTATAAAGATCATTTGGATTGATTCCACTATAACAGCGAAGCGATGTCTATACCACTTACTTCGTTCAACCGGTCCAGACAGCCGTCAGGGCAATATATTGTTACTTGCTAACAACTAATTTCAGTCGCTTCATCACTATCGCTAAAGCTCAATATTTTTTTGTTGACACGATCGACATTATAAAAGTCTCCACACAATTTCCGGCGTTTTCATATGCGTTGATCAGAGCGATTTACGAGTGATCGTGATGAGAAAAGTCGACTACAACAGCAAACAAAGTCGTACCGCACATGTAAATATGTATAGCAGCTATGTAGTGGCTGGAATAGGCGAGTGGTAAGTAGTGCCTGCTGCCATTTGGAAGGGCGGAGATCGAGTTCTGATCTGCGATCGCCCCTCGGCAGTTAAAGTCATACCCTACGAGCTTCTCATAAATAACCCCATCAGCTGTTCAGAGGAAGCTTAGTATCAACTGTAGGACCCTTCATTTGCTGGAAACACATCACATCATAAATTGGAGGTGGCGATCGGCCGAAAATCCCACCAGCGCTTACAAAGTGCCAATTATATATATAACTGTGTTTGTTTATATGTACAATCAGAGCAAAAATCGTGCTTTGTTTTGGTGAAAGGATCGTCTCCACTCTTCCAAGTACTATGTACCATCACACTTCTTATCTCTTGGCGCTCAGAATTGGTAAATCTTCAACAAGCAATCGACAGCCAAGTTGTTATGTAAAGTTGAAGATCGATGCAATGTTGCAATGTTGCAATGACGGGTGATGGCAAATAGTTGATATGTACATATATATGTATATATATATATATATATATATATGTATATAATGCAATTCCACTCATGGAAAAACATCATCTTCACTGCACGATCAATGTTATTGCTGCACTTTACGGATGTATTTGTACAGGGTTCTCCAATAAGAGATCTGGTTTGAGTTAAATGATCGAATGTTTATTTAAATGTAAAGCCATGCTATGCCATAAATAATGGAAAACAATATCAACCAAATCACCACCACGACTACGACTTTATATGAAATTTTCCATTACCAAATCGCAAAGTGGCTGCTGTATGTCCTCAATAGCTCCGCGAATGCCATCTTTGTGGTCTCGAATCTATGTTGGCCTGCTGACCTGGACCTTATCCCTCACGTGGCCCCAAGGGAAAATGTCACAAAATGTTAAATCACAAAATATTGGTTGCCAACTGCGTTCAACTCTTCGGGAGATAACATGGACCATAAACTTTTCCCTTAAAAGATTGTTGGTTTCGTTGCTTGTGTGGACCGTAGCGCCTTCTAGCTGAAAGTAAGTGCTATTCAGTTCAATACCAGCCGATTTCGGCCATAAAAAATCATTAATCATCACATCTCGATAGCGTAA